TACTATTAAGTTCCCGAACTGTATAAGCGTCACTAAATCTGATTCCATCGATGGTAATCAAATTAAAAGTAGTACCAGCACATCGGGTTATAACAGCAAAACTTCTAACAGCTCCACTAAATCATCCGATTCAGGATTATCTTTTAATAGTCTAACGCAGCGCCTTTCTAATTTTAGTTTCCTTAGTAGTTCGGATAAGAAATCATCCGGCATAGATGTCTCACATTCGTCATCCTCACATCGCAATAATCGTAAAACTATGAGTTTACTCAAATCTTACAATCACAACAGTAATAGCAGTAATCATCATCAGCATAATAGCAACAGTAATAGTATTGCTAATTCTACAACGCTGGAACATACTAGCAATACTAGTATGGGAAACAGTGTGACAGCACATAGTTTTGGTTCGCTAAAACTTGGCAAATCTTCGACGAATACCCATAATACGTCTATAGCAAATGCTACGCAAGGAATAGTTAACTCATATGATCCTATGAAATTAATTGGTACACCTGCATGTCCGCGTTTTGATGAATGTCCTTTATTGGAACCACTTGTTTCCAAAAAGATAGCACATGAACGATTAACTGCGCTTATATTTCGTGAAGATTGCTTTCTTACGGCTTGTCAGGATGGTATCATCTATACATGGGCGCGACCCGGTTATGCTTCGGTAAGTGTGAAGTTTATTTCAATTAAATATTTTTTTTTTTGTATTAATTGATTTCTTTTTGCATGTCTATGTAGAATATACCACAGCATTTGTCACCCAGTCAAACAGCGCCTCCCGGCGGTACGGTAATATAGTTCGATAAAATTAATTTTTATAATTATCAAAAGAATCTGACTAAAAGAGAAACTTCGAACGCAAATGAATAAACAAAAAGTTAACGTTAGATATCGAAGTTAATAAAAATATTCAGTAAATATTTAAGGGTAAAAGCATAGAAAACAAGAGATTTCAATGTTAAATCATTTAAAATGATTAATGCCCAAACTATAATATAAAAAATTCCAATTGTAATTAGCTTAAATATATATACAAACAAAAGTATGTAAAACATTAAAAACAAAATAATTATTATAGTTAAAATGTTTAAGAATGATAGAGTAAATTTGTTACAAACAAATTGAAGTTTTGTTTAGTAGGAAAATGTAAAAAGGATATAAAATTGATATGTGTAAGAAAAACATAAATAAAATAAAGATTTTATAAAAAACAAAAATCGAAACTATAAAATAAAAGCTTGTAATCACATTCATAATAACGAAACGTCCCATTTAATATTTTATCCAATAACTAAACTAAACATATAAGAATCTTTCATTTTTGTGATAAAATCTATGAAAAGTAAAGCAATTTCTATAATACTGAAGTTGTTTCGTCAAATATATGATATATAAAAATTATATCTGAAATGAACTGCTTAACGCGAAATGAAATGCGTTTTTCTGGCGTTTCGATATGCTGAATAGGAGAGTTTTTTAAAACTTAATTGTTAGAATAATGAAAATTTGTTAATTTGTACTCGATAAAATGAACTGATTGGATTGCCACTAAAACTACGTACATAATAAATAATTAATATTTACATACTTTAATATACGCAACTGTTTTAATATAAGAGAATTAAAATTTACATGCTTAAGAACAACAATTGACATACACACATAACTGTTATAAAAAAAAACACCAAAACGAAGCTATTTTTAAATTGTTCATTTGATTTTTATATATGTTTTTTTCTAAAACGTTTACAATTAAAAGTGCTACACATTGTATTGGTTTATTATTTATTAATAAAATTAAAAAATATCTAAAGATTTCGTTTAGGGTTAAGTGCTAAACATATTTAAACAATGCCTTAATGTAAATTAATTCGAAATGAAATAATAAAAGAAATATAGTGTTAAAAAAATCATGTCTAGTTATAACACTTATTTATATAAATTTATAAAATAACAACAATAATGTTTAATAAAAATAAACGCATGAATATTTTTGAAATTCGTGTTAAGATTTTGTTTCTGACAACTTTTGGAATTTTATGAAATTAATAAAATAATTAAAGCTTTAAATATTATATATTTTTACCTTACTTCTTGAACAAATATATATAAATATATACAATATATCTAATTTAAAATAACGAACAAATGAAAAATTTCAAATTGTCAGAAATATTTCTAATACATGCATACTTATCCAAGATTCGCAAGTGTAGCACATAATATTATATTATATTCGGTATGACCGCCTTAAATTATAATTTGTATATTTAGTTTATTTTATTAATAATAATTTTTTTTTATTAATGTTTGTTTGCTGTAATCAAAAACAAACACAATTATTTAATATATTAAGTATTTTTTAGAGTTTTAAATCATATCAATTATGTTTTCTAGAATTAAAAGTGATTGTGTATGTAATGCATATGATGATATGTTGTATATGTAATTGTTATTATTATATTTTTGATTTGTATAGAAATATTAAGTTAATTGTATATATCATAAATAATAAAACAAATATAAAATTTTATTAATTGTTATGGTTCATAAATGTTATGTACGAATATTTATTTTGTTCATTGTATGTTTATTGTAATTATAATTTGTTATGAACTTTTTCTATTAATTGCAAATACAACTTTAAAATGGTATTTATTTTTATATGTGGATTTTAAATTAAGTTGAGATTTAATGTAAACAATAAAATTTTGTTTTTGTTTTACGTTCATTTATATACAAATGAAATATATAATATTTTTTTCGAATCTCTATAGCATTTTTTGAAATTTTTTAAAAATTTATTATGTTTTCTAATGGGGCCAAAAGCCAAAGATGTTTTTTAATTATTAAAACTTTTTGAACAACAACTATAAGAATATTTTATGTGTACATTATTATTATTATTATTATTTTCTTACTATAAATAAGTAGCCTTCAATACAAAAAAAAAAAAGAAAACAAAAAAAAAACCATAACAATTCTTCCTAAATAATTTTGCCTTATTACTTGTTTCAATTAATATTTCAAAATCAAATTACGAACATGTTCCAAAAAAGCAAACTAGTTATTTCTAATTGTGTGAAATATATACGAATTAACAAAATAAAAGAATTAAAAAAAAATAATTATCAAACTGACAAGGCATGATATACTCATAAGTATAAAATAAATGATAAAACTCAAAGCAATATAAATTTATGCTGCTTTAATAATATAGCTAATATATTAATTATTTCTGAAAAACAATCATGCAAATAATTTAAATTTTTTTTAAAAAATGTAAAGCATCAATTCTAAATTAAAATTAGTTTCAGTATGTAAAAAATTATTGTATAATTTTTATATAAAAATTAAGTATATATTTCAATATTATTTCGTAGAAAAATTGCTTATTTATTAGTTTTAAATTTTATATAAAATTATATATAACTGCTTTTATTTGTAACAAAAAAATGTATACACACACATATATATAAATATAATTTTAATTAACAATTTATAAAATAAATACCACACACATACATACATATATACAATTTTTCATAGTATTTACATAAAATGTAACTATGTAACTAAAAAAATAAAAAAAAATATTACGAAATTCTCTTTAGAATAAATAAAAAATATTAAAAAAGAACATTTTTTTAAAAAATTTAATTTTTTCTTTACTATAAACGACGATTTTTGTAGTGATACGATTTGCTGATATTGTCGCTCTTGTTCTAGGTACACAAGTGATTTTAGAATGTGGACACCTCCGCTCCAGTTAAATTAACAATGGAGACAATACAGTAAAAATAACTACAATTTACATGAAGTCACAACGATTGAAAGATAGGATTGAATTTAACGTTGTCTAAGTTTTAATTTCAATTAAGATTGGCGATGTAAAGAACAAAAATGAAAAGCTTACAGTCAGTGTGTTACAAAAAGTCTATTAAGGACTATATGCTTTTGGTCTGGATGTTTACTACATTTGTAACATAAATTATATAAAAACGTTTGTCACAACTATTTATAACAATTGCGATTATACTCTAAAGTGATAAATTGATAATCTATACGCAAACCAAACGATATGGCGTTTTGTAGCATTCATAAGTACAATAAAAGCAGGAAAATTCATAAATTAAAAAAAAGATAAAGATAAAAAAAAATCTGAATATTGCAACAATCAAAATACTTGCATTAATTCATATCTTATAATTTTCAGAACTGCATTAGGATCATAACCATTAATCCTTATGTTCATATCTATGAATCCATAAGATAATATATATGAATCCATACAATCATATCCTTGAATCTATACGTTCATATCATATTATATTATATATCTATAAAAATTATATTCCATTTATTCACTATTCTACTTTCGTCTATAAAAGGATTCAAAACTTGATTAAATAGTTTTAGACTAGAATAAAAAATATCAAAACCAGTACTTAACGCAATAACACTTATCTAATATGTTTTAATATATTTTTCTTTATATTTCATTAGAATTTATATTTAATCAAGTATTTGTAAAGACTATAATTATTTAAACAAAAATTTAATTTATTATAATATGGAATAAAATATCTACTTGCAGAATAATTTAGAACAATACATAATCATATAAGAAAGACTATGACTGCCCGATTTGTTTGATTTACAGATCAGCGTAAAATGTCTAGAACGAATGTACTTATTTTCATAAAATATGTTCGCTCATAGTTTGTATTGTACTTACTATTAGTTTTATTTATAACTTATTTCACAAAATATTAATAAATATATACGAAAATATAATCGCAAAAAAAGAAATCATAATGCACAACACCTACTTAATATATAAAATATTATTTTATATATAAAATATTATTCTATATAAACTAGTATTCTGTATATAAAATATTATCTTTATAAATAAAATTATATTAGATATTTTTGATAAACAAATATTTTTTAACTAAGTAAATATACTTTCTTTTAGTTTTAATATTTTATTTGCTATTAAAAAAATAATATTATTCACATATGTATTATTACAGATAACATTTTTATCTATTTTATAACATTTTCACTGATTTTTCTTTGTCAGATCTTCGATTTGTTCTCACCATTTCATTTTTAAATTTTACAAATAATATCGTTTATAAACAAGTTATTATTATAACAAGTTATGCACACACAATGTCCTAATTTTTAGATATTTAAGTTTCACAAAGAGTAAAAAAAATTAAAATTTAACATTATATTTAAAGCATACGAATATAATAAAATATAATAAAAAAAATATTCTAACAAGACAAAAAGCTATTAAAAAACAGCATTTCTAGCTTCTAAAGTTGCAGCATCCGGGAAGTATAAATGTTTTGATAATAAAAATGATAAAAATGCCTGACCGCCTACGATAAGAAAAAGAAAGTACAACTTTCTTTTACGTCCACCCGAATATTCCAATTGCTGCGAATTTCCATATGGATCATAATTAATTGCTCCTCTGGCTTCTGCCGGTGATGTCTCATGCAGGACTTTGGTTTTTAATGTACGTAGCTATAAAAAAAAAATTATTTATAAAACATTTAAAGTAGAACATTTCTTTATGTATATATATAAAATGATACAAACTCTATAAAATAATATGCGGAACGTATTTAAATATAACTTGAATTTTGGATAGTTATTATTACTTGTAATAATGAGCAGAAAGACTATTAAGCAGAAAACACAAAGAAAATATAATCGATAACATATCAATATAAAATAAAAAGCCGGACGATATATTTGAAAATAGAAATATATCAGAATATAAAGAAGATAAGAGCTGCAAGGAGTGGTAATGAAAGTGAATAACTAAAGGTATGTATGTTTCAATATTAAATACAGTGAAAGCTCTTTTAAGCGTATAATGTCGCGGCCATTTTATTTGAAAAATGAAAACTGAGGACATGTCTATTTATGACAACGAACGTGTATTAATACATTTTATGTCATATAAATTATGATACTAAACGATATTTATTTTTTTTGATATAACGAATATCAGATTTTATAGTAAATGATTGTTTAAATAAATTTATACATACCAAAAAGAATCCTAACGATAAACTTGTGTAAGCTAATGCTAAATAGTAACCAAATCCATTAAATATCGTGCTGACCAACAAACACAATACTATAGTTGCAAATTTGTATCCAGAAAATGCCAGTAAATCAAGAGTTCTCAAATTTGTTTTTATATTCACCACATAAAGAGTTATTAAATAGACCACCAATTCAAATATACTGTAAGCTAAAGCGCTCGATGCTTGTATGCCCAACTGTTCCGGTGAGAATCTTTTCTGCATACCCAACATAAGTCCTGCCACAACTACATATGTAATATAAGCCATAGTTGGTATATATAAATCAGGAGCATTTATATCATAACGCGGCTGTACTGGATTCTCTTGATCATATTTAAGAGACCAATCCTAAAAATAAATTTATTTTAATAAAATTGATTAAATTCATTTATGATATATTATTTACTTTATGTGTGAATGGAAAAAAAAGTAATCGCAATTTATTTATTACATAATTATTATCCACAGCGAAATAATATTTTAATTTTGCAACTGGTATCCATTTTTCAAATTGATTTTCTACGAGTTGTTTTCCTTGATCTGCTAAACGTTGGCCATATTGCATTGCCATATCTTGCACGATTGGTTGTTGAAAAACAGCAAACTGTGGCATAGCATTTGCAAACTGACCAGCAGCTTGATTTCCAGGTGCCCCACTATATTGCATTTGCGGTCCTTGCATATTAGTTGGAAAGTTTTGTGTGGTAGATGGAGGTACATAACCATAATTTGGATTTGTTGTATTTACATTTTCGTTATAAAAGCCCCCTATGCTAGTAACCGGTTGTGAATTAACACCAAAATTATTGCCTCCCATCATGGGATCTAAAACTGTAGGACCTGGTGCCGGCTGCATATACGGCGTTTGGTTCGGCATTTGCATTGTTGGTGCGCCCATTGCGTTTACATCACTCACACGTTTCATCTTTGGACGTGGTCTTGATTGTGCTATTTATTTAAAGATAGTCATTAGAAGCTATTTATATTACAAACTAAATAAAATCCAATAAGGAAATAGCAAGCTACATACACATTTTAACAAAAGTAATTTGTTAGTAATTCAAACTAGTAATAGGCAACGATGTATTGCTGAGAAACACTATTTAAATCTTTAGTTCCAACGTATCATGCTATTCAACAAAACTGTTTAGTGCTAAAATTGTAAATCATTATAAGTTTATCAAGTTGAGCAGTTCTATAGAACAAATTAATGTATTGTATATGGCAAATACAAATACAAATACTTTTATTTCAAAAAAGCTTTTACTTGCACATTTCCTTTGCTTACAGTTTTCCCACTTACGGTTCCGAAGATCTTCATTTGGATTATAGTTCATTGTTCAAAAATGTAAATAATATGTTAAATTAAGTTATATATAAAAAATTATTTCGGCTTTGTTACACATCACCATTTCCAGTCTCACAAAAATATGACAGATGCGTTCAAACGATGACGTTTCAGCATGAGGAACTGCCAGCATAAATATTAGGATGCTTTTAAAATTATAACTTGCTAACAAGTTCATAATTATACACAAAAACACTTGTTTCACACATAATAAAGCCTCTAAAATTTCTTTTTAATACATATCGACAGTTTAGAGAAAATAAATATTAATAATAAGGATACAGTAAACCATTATAACAAAACGCGAATCAAAGAAAGTTGAGTTAATCTGCTGCAATGTTAACATATCACTAAGACCACACCAAAAAATGGTCGATAATAATAGTAAAATTATACATATCTAGTCATTATAAATATATAATATCAAAATTTGTAGTCAATACCCTCAAAGTATTAAAATGCTCCTTTCGTAACAATGAACAACCCTTCTCTGTCAAACTTTTGTAAACTGTCAAATAATTCGGCATATGTATTTGGTATTGCACGTGGGGCTCAATCTTGTTTTTAAATTATTTGTTTGCGCTACAAGAAAATATTTATTAAATTTGTAGAATTATTTCAATTAAAGTGTAGAAAAATGCCACCAGTTAAGAAAGAAAAACCAAAAAAGAAAGTACAAACACCTAATAAAAAAAATGTGTCTGCCGAAAATGCCGCTATATCTGTGCAAGTGCGTATTGCATATATAACTGTATATTAAAATAAATATAATTAATTTAATATTTATAGCTTAACAAAAAACTGAAACAAAGGGAACAAAAAGAAAAAAAGCAACGTGGTGTTGTTTTTATTAAACATTTACCACATGGTTTTTTTGAAGAGCAACTTAAAAACTACTTTGGGCAATTTGGGAATGTAACACGTTTGCGTTTGGCACGTTCAAAACGATCAGGTGGTAGTAAGGGATATGCTTTTATTGAATTTGAATATCCTGAAGTTGCTCAAGTAGCTGCTGAAACAATGGACAATTACCTGATGTTTCAGAAAATTGTCAAGGCCCAGTACATTCCACCAGAGAAGCAACGTTTTAATTTTTTCAAATCAACTGTTCGTCAAGTAAAGGATAAGGTACATAAAAAACATATTTATATACGAACAGAAAGATATTTAATGTTGATTTATGAATATAAATATTTATCTTAAGTCTACTGTTTCATTTATTTCAATTTTCTTATAGCACTTTCTTATGGATTATAATTATATTAGTTTATAATAACATTTTATCTAAGTTCCACTAACTATGGATTTAAAAAATCATCTAGATCCTTTAATATAGCTTAAAATAATCTTTTAACAGACTAACAAACACTTGAAGGAAGATTCACTCTTCTAGTGTGATTACCTCTTAGACAGTGATTAGTAATAAACCCACTTGTGTTCTTTCAATTATTTTCTTAGTTACTTTTATTCTTACTACTATACGCTACAAATTTGTAACTTATATATACATAAATTTTTTTTTTACATATTTTAAACGCTTCTAAATATAAAAGTCTAATGAGAGCATTTAGAAATACTTTTTCTATATATTGAATGCTGTTTTTCAACAGTTTCTACACAGTAAATAGTTTTATGTTTATACAAAAATTCTTTAACATAACTTTTGTAAACTAATTATACAAAAATTGTTATACAATGTATTCTACTCTTTTACAGACTGGAAAAAATATTTATGTCTCCTGTACCACGGCGAACATACGTCGTAAAGCTAAACAACATAATGATTGGTCAGACGTTAATTATCAAAAACGTACTGCAACAAAACTAAAAAAAATTAATAAATTAAACAAAAAGTATGCACATTTGGGAATCGACTTTTCAAAAATTATTGTTGGGCCGAAAATAATCAATGCCTCAGACCAAACTAATGAATCCAATGAAGAAATAGAAAAAGTTGAGAAAGACAAAGTAGCTGCTACCAGCTCTAACTCCAAACGAAAACTAACTGCAGATAATAAAAAAATTGCTGAAAAAACTAAAAAGCAAAAAAACGTAAATGAAAGTTTAAAACTAGAGGACTTGTTAGGTAATACGCTCAACGATGATTCCAACGACGAAGACTATGTTGCCAATGCAAAAGATGAAGATACATCAGATGAAGATAGTTATGGGTTTTTGGCAGAAGATGATAATGAAAGTTTAAAAACCGAAGATTTATTAGGTAACACATTAAATGATGATTCAGACGATGAGGACTATGTTGCTATTCAAAAAGACACATCTCATGAAAATGATGATGATGATGATGATGATAATAATAACAGTAGCGATGAACTTAATGAAAGTCATGAACCGTTAGTTAAGCTTAAGAAAAACAAAAAAAATGAAAAGCCTTTAGCAAAATCTTTGAAAACAAAACGCACTGATCCATTTGAGCAGTTGATTAAACGTAAACCACTAAGTGGTGGCATAAAAAAAACTGGTAAAAAAAATCGAAAAGCGCCAACAGTTCTTAAACCTAAAAATATGAAAATGCTGAAAGCTGCTAAAGAACTGGCTAAGCCTTTGAAAACCATTAAGAATAAAAAAATTAAAACAAAAAATTTGTAATATATTAGTTGTAATTTATTTATAAATATGTCTTTTATAATCTGTTATGAAATTTCTCCTTTTAATAAATAATCATGTAAATTTTAATAAATATAATTTGTTGATATTTCACTACAAATTTCTTAATTCATTACTCAACACTGTCTTCGTTTCCAGTCTAAAACGCTTCCATTTCATACGTCTATTTTGAAACCAAACTTTAACCTACATTGGATTTTTGATAATATTTAATACTTTTTTATAAATATGTGTACTAAATACGTGTAATAATATTAAAAATTTTAATAACACTATACTTGCCTGTCTCTCAGTCAAATCTAGAGCTACAGCAATTTCATAACGGCGTAATCTCGTCAAATAGTTGGAATGTGAAAATTCAGCTTCAAGTTCCTTTAATTGTTCCTTTGTAAAAGCAGTTCTTTCTTTTCTGTTTGATGCAGTTGTTATAATGGTACCACTTCTCAATTTTTCACACCTCTTTGATTCTGTAAATACGAAGTTATGGTTGATAATAAAAACTTTTCAAATAAAAAAAAAACTAAAGAAAGTATCGTATTATTTTGAAGTTATTAGTGGATTATAAAGTTTGTGCTCTAATATTTACGAAAAAAATTTGAACCACAAATACTTTTCAAGGGTCAATAAAGATGATCACTAAAGGGTCACCTCAAAATCGTTTATCGTTATTGTTATAAGCTCTGGCGACTCTCTGCCACAACTACAGAATTTTGTGTCCAGTTCATCGATTCAGAATATTTTTCCTACTTAGATTTTCTCGTAAATTAGTAATATAGAACCTTCTTTACACAATCTTAACTAAACATCCGATACACAATGCCCATTTACGTATTTTTTTCTTTAATACAGCATTCCTGTCACGTTTCTGTGGACTCATTCTGCCCCCTAGAGAATCTACAAGTACCATTACATTAGATTGCTAGTTTTGTTAATAATACTTCAACCTACAGTGCGCTGTTAGAATTTCTGTTATAATTATTAACTCATTTTCATTACGTTACATAGAATCCTGAAATCATAGCCAAGATATTCTACAATTTGCTTAGAAGCCAAACGATCAGTTCACATATAATAATTCTGAAGTTATTGTTTTCCTATAGTAGCCGGATCTACATCACGTAACCTTTCATTCTCACCGACTGCCAAGTGCTACTCGCATTGCAAGAAGCAACGCCAACAAAATCCGTTCTCAAGATCTTATAATACTGTAGTTGTTAGTGTTAATTAAAAATCACTGAATTGGTCAAATCAACACTTAAGCGTATATGTTTAGCTTACTACCATCAAACACTGAATTCATGACAACATGTCACAAAAAATGCTTTAGGCATAATTTTCCTACTAAACTAGGCCTCTATTCTTATTCTTAGAAATTCTAGATTATAAAGATGTTACAGTAGCATCTCAACAAAAGTATATGAATAGTTTTACTGATAATAATCTAATCTTTCACGAGTGATAAATTTTGTGTCTGTAAAACTTTACGTATAAAAATTATATTTGAAAACATATCATTTCAATTTTCTTTCACTAGATTTACTGAGTCCATGAAAGGATTGCTATGATATACATTAGCATTAAATATTGGCCTTAATCTATAAACTACAGATACATGATACAGAGATTTTTATTTAAGATGGATACTTCCTATATTCAAAATTGAGTATTAAATTTCACACTACAAGGAGTTACTACTTTAGATAACGATAACTATCTCTGCAGGCCAACGAGAGGATGGATTCTTTATGCAGTATGCGACTGCATGAAATAAGTATGAATAATTGGAGAGCCGTTGTATTAGTTAGAGGAAATGAAATGTATTCAGCAAGAAAGCACTGACCCACAAAGTACTGAATGTGACGCTAAGTAGAAAGTTGAGGATGATCGCACTATACAACCATTTTCCCCAGCATAAACACAGCAGAATTGTAATCTACTTTCAGTTTGCTGAGTTCCTTGAAACTTGTTGGATCCAACGACAAGTTATGATATTATAAATGTTATTATTTTTTAATGTTTTGTTTTGTTGAAAACTGAAATGATCGCTATTTTAAAAAGGTTATAAATTTTTACTTCCATCTTTTGTATTAAAATATATTAGTCAATTAAACTCAACCCCCACCCAAAAGAAAGGAAGCACTATGGTATGTTTATACATATATATAACAGTGATTAATGTATTATGACTGTTTAATAAGATACAAATTTTGTATTAATATAAAAATGTATTAATTTAGCTGAAAGCCTCTAGCGAAGTAACGGGTTATTACGCGGATTAAAAATAATTTCTTGAAAATCTCTGCTTATATTTGAAATAATTTATTCTTTTGGAAATATTGTAATAATTGTATGATCTTATGCTTCTAAATATGTAAATAGTTTAATGATTTTGAAATAGTTTAATAGACTTACCTCTTACATTTTTGAACTGACTTTTATTATCTATAGGATTTGATAATATTGTGATATTATCATAGTTTTCCAACGGAAAAAAATCATCTGCAGAATTGTTATACCAATCTGTATATGCATTGATGCATCCATAAAGATCACTGGAGTTAAGAATGTTTTTCTGTATACAATTAGACGTTTTCTCAAGATCAGATTGACTTTCTATGGAATTTGTAGCCATTATCGGACAATTTTGTTCCAAATAGTTTTGTAAGTTATATGTTTTCCTTTTTAGTTCGTAACAACAAGAATAGTGAATATTCTCACTATTTGATGGAAAATTCACTGCGTTATCACTTCTAAAATAAAAATCATTTAAATTTGTGTACATTTCAACAATTTGATCCTTGTGATGACACGACAATACAGCGTTAGAGCTCGGGATAAACTAAGAATTCGACATCACATAATGATAGAACTACACTATATTTCTCACAACATATGAAGTTTGCATTCCTATTGGTTTGTATACTTAAAATCGACATCTGATTGGTCAATATGGTTATTCACTTATGAATAAATATGTCGCTGTGGCTTCGACCCCCGTGCCGCTTGTCAACTCATACGACAATTTATGAGCTGTTATGAAAGGAAGGCACTTATAAAGACAAGTGCTTGTTTGCTTAACGATCACATCTTTTTCTTTAACTCTAAAAAAATACAATCATATTTTTACTTATTCACTCGCAATAAAAATATAGACATCAAAATAAATAAACCGAGAGGAAGTGTTTTTTATGTAATATGTGGAGTAATAGTTTTAAGTATTTTTTATTTATTTTGAAAAGAAAACTCTAGAATGTGGAAGTAAAACTCATTACTTCCTTAAGGAAGCTAACATCTTCTTAAGTCGTCTCAATGCACCAAACAAACTAAACACATATTAATTAATGATGTGCAATTGTTCGCTTCTTTTAAAATTTGTGCCACATTTGCAGCGATTCTATCGTTTGCTTTGATTTAAAACCGCCCACTGAGCCTGAACACAGAGTTTCAGTAGATATGTAGAATATGTGTCACTTGTACATTAAGAGATTTCATTATATAACAAATAATATGGACTTTATTGTTTTTTTATTAAATATCATTTATATTAGTCTAGTCTTACCATTTGATATATTGTAAGCTAGGCATTATGTTAGAATATATATATGTATATATATATAAAGTATTATAGTTCAAGGGTTCAATGCAGTAGTTTTGCTTTTTAAGTACTGTAAACCTTATAATATATACTAAAAACAAAAGTATAGGAACATAGTATCTTATAGACTTATTTTTTTACCTAAACAAATCCTAGAAAGTTTCTTTGGTATGGCTAAGTATAGTTTATATATACTTTTATATCTATATTTTCTCCGGTGATACTTTTTCAGTGGTTAGCCACCACTCTATCCGGGTATTGTCGTTCCACAATATACTGAGGTCATGGCTTTGTCACCATGATTTGGTTCCGAGGGCACGACAGAGACAAAGCTCCAGTTTGGTTGAGAAAACTGGAGGTTTGAGCAAAAAAATAAATATACAGATAAATTAATTTATTTCTACATTTGTGTCTACGAATTGTTTTTATTTTTGTTCGAAACTAATTTTGATCCACGGCTTTATTTCTCTTTATTTTTATCAAAACATACAATCGTAATTGACATATTGAGGTGTTTCGATACAGCATTCACTTAGTCAATGATTTAAAAAGAAAGTACGGCATTAACTCGCACATCTTTGCTGGCATTTTATAACGATTCCGTATAAAATTTATAACTTATACCTATATGCTTATCAAAAAAAAAAAAATAAAAATTAGTTAAATATAACAGTCTAAACTCTAACAACTGTTAGCTTATTTTATGACATCATAATCATAAATGTAAGTGTAAACATAGTATAAAAAATTGAACTAAAAAGTTTATCATCTAATTAATTTTATTATTTTTCAACAAAACTAAATCCTTGAAAAATCGATGGGACAATAATTTATTTTATTTATAATTTATAATTTATTTGGCAAAATAATTTATTTCGTACAATTAAACGCACAACGTTGTCTTTTATAAACCTCGTCTCGTGCTCATTGTGTTTGCAGCATAACCATAACCATTATTGTTAACAATTTGCATATCTTGAGTATTTTTTTACCATCCGTGAAAATTTAGTCGTTAATGATTTTGAACTCCAAAAGTTCACCGGGTAAAGTAGTTATTAATAAATTATTCTACCAGCAACAGATAAAAAGGATAATATCAAAACTCATATTCAACTTGAAAATTTCTGTGGAATCTTCTAAGTAGCCATTTTTAATAGAGATATTCAGACCGAACTCTGTAAGTCGTTATATAATAAGTTTTTACCTATTGTTTTGTTTTTTAAAAATAGAGATTTTATGGACACAACGATATCATGTGGGTAATATTATTATAAGATTAATTATTATATATAGTTAAAGATTATTGAATAGCAAATTTTCATTCTTTTGCAATTACTGTATAAAATTATTAAGAACTAACTAAAATATTAAAATGTTTTTTTTTTATCTAATTTTACAAAACAATCATATAAATTACATTATTTATTTTAAATATATAAAGCATTCAACGAAGATGAAACAATGTACTCTACAAAATTTGTTGTTTACTGCATCAAACATAGTAAAGCATGAGTGATGATAAAACATGAACACAAAGCAAAATGTAAGAAGGCAGTCAACCCTGTTGTTGTGTGCTGAACGTTTTGTGTTCCTCATGGGAGTGTAGCTGAAATCATTACTAACTAAAATTGATTTGTGTTGAGACGGTTGGTGAATTTAACAATTTGTTGTGCATAAAAACTATTATCTATGTTCAATGGAGCCTTTTAATGTCAACCATGAACCGCTGGATAATTGGACATTACGGGAGAAACTTGTGTTGGTTTCCACGATGTCGATAAATGTAGGACAAGACTGGAGCACTGTTAGCAAAAAGGTAAAAGATTATTGCGGCAAAAAAATTAAAAGGCCGGATGACTGGTTTTCACCAACGCAATGTCAATTGCAATACACTGAGATTTTACTTCGAATGGGTTTGAGTAACTGTCCCACTATGGAAATAGAGAACATAGATTACGCTAAAGTCGATGCGGCAAAACGTAAACTGACCGACGAACATATGGTAGTTGTGCAAGTTGACATGCGGCGACAGCAGGAAGAGTACGCTCAAATACATGAATATAGAAAAATTCTTGCTTCAAATAATGCTACGGAAGAGGAGAGGATGAAAATTTGGGTATTTATTAATCAGAAAAAAGACGCGAAACGTATTGAGGAAATGAAATTAGAAAATCAAATGCGAGAAAGAGACCAAAAAAGAAGAGAAGCGATACGTAACTGGCAAACTACTCCTCCAGGTATTGTTGTACATAAACCTGAACCAGACACGACCGCTGTTGATATGGATGTCGAAGAAATAGTAGTTTCAAGTAAACCAATTTCAACTAGTATTCATACAACATCCGCACAGCAACCACAAATTGCTCCATCACCACTACTTTCGTCACTATTAAAATCACCTAACTCAGGCATGACCAATAGTAGCCCCGTATCAGCACGAAATACTGCTCCAACAATTACTACATTGCTTACTAGTGGCTCTATTCCTAACCCAAACCAACCAGTTCTTACGCTTAAAAGTCATGTGCCAGCACATGAAGCCGTCCAAATGTTAACGCGACCCATCAGCGGTCCGCCTGTTGATTCAGGAACTGTCATTATTAATACACCACAGAATTTACTTAGTCCTTCACAATCTGCACCAACATTATCCATGTTATTAGAAAAAAATAAATCAGCAATGACATTAAAAAATACATTGAGCCCAAAAACGGAGCTTAAGAACAATAACAACGTACCTCAACCTAAAAAAATAGATCAAACTACAGCAAGTGATGTCAACCATGACATAGTTCCAATGGACATTGAAAAAGGTGCAGTAGAACCACAAATTACTAATGCAAATGGCTCCTCAACAACAGTCGAAGTCGATGAAACGGACCCTATTGAAGAACAGCAATTAATGGAAGTTTTCAAACATATTGGGACCATTGAAGAAATGGATATAGATGTTTCTGCTGTGATCGATGAAGAAGATGATTTTTTGAAAGTTGTTGGTGATAGTAGCCAAGAGCCAACAGTTGAACCTACTCTAGAAATGAAAGATGATGTTGATGAAGAAGAAAAACCAGAAATTGACAATCTTATTGCAAATGACGTCGATGTCGAAGTGGAAAACGAATCAAATTTAAAAGATGATGTGGTTAAGAATAGAGTCGATGTTGAAACAAGTGAAAAGAAAATTGAACATAAAATTGATGTACGTTCATCCAGTGATGATTCAATCGACAACATACCTTTAGCTTCAGTCGCCTCACAAGAAGCAAAAGATCAAATACAAACCACAAATAGTTTACATGCAAATAAATTATTCAAAGAAAAAACTGATAGCGAAAAAATAGAAAACAACAAAATACCAAATTTGGATGTAAAAAATGAAGAAGATACAGAAAAGAGCAAAGAATGCAAAGAAGAGTTACTACAAAATAATGTAAGCGATTCGATTACATTTGAAGACAACAAAAAACTAGTAACAACTACTGATTCACCCGAAAGCCAGAGTTCAGATGTAATTATCATACCAACAGATGATGATGACTCCAATGGCGTAAAGCATATGTTGTCAATAAAAAAAGAAGACATTTCAGTGGAGGAAACAAAAGAGCAAACAGAAAATGCAGTACAAGCAAATGATCTAATAACAGGTAATAACATTAAGCAAAAGAAAATGTTTGCAAAATTTATACTTTTTCTTTTTTTTTTAGAAAAAACATCTTTATCTGTCACTAGTGATAACACGGAAGAACTACCAGCAACAATCGAAACTCAAGAAACAGAGACTTTATCGACTTTACCAGTAATATCAATTGACACTGACGAAGAGTCGTCAACAACCGATGTTAGTACTACAACACGTAAAGATGACAGAATAGCAGTTATGCAAAAAATTTCAACTCAATCACGTCGTGGAAGTTCGTCGAAAACAGAACCCAAGATAGAAGATGAAAATTCAATTGCATCAATATCATCGATACCAATAAAACAACGACGTCGATATTCTTCTACAAAAGCCATGGATAGTTTTCCTAATTCACCGGCATCAAGTGATCGGGAAGAACGCGAGACCAGATCTTCAAAGAAGCCGTTGATGACTATAATTAACGTCTTACAAACAAATAAAAATTTGGCTATTGTACAGAATGCTATAGCAGAAATGAATGGAAAAAGTATACATAAACCATTTAATTTACAAATGTTAAAAAAAAATGTTGAAACCGGTGTTATACGTAATATTAGTGATTTACAACTCGGTTTGGTAATGATGTGTCAAAATGTGATTATGTGTTCGAAAATCAATAGTACCGTATTTAAGGCAGCAGTGGCTTTTAAGGAAGAATGCAGAACAATGCAAAATTTTCTAAATGCAGAAATAAAAATAAAAACTGAGAAGGACTCAAAAACTAGCATTAGTAAAAATCGCACTAGTTCGACTAGAAAAAGTCTGCGTATTACTTAAGTAAAGTATTACGTATATTATTAGCATAAAATAATAGTAATTAGATTTTATTTATATTCTATATTTTTATTTGGCAAAAAGTAAATTTTGTAATTGCCGTGCAGTAGATGAACGGCAGACAGCTCTACGTCGTGGACATGTAAACTGTTTCAAACAACGTGTTAACCGCAAATCACAATAACATAGCCGTGATGCACAAGATTGTGGACCACCCCATTCACCATGATCGATAGCACATAAAGGCTTCCCACGATAACATTTCCAAACGTAAGGTACAAAATATTCTAAGTACGAAATACAGTTACTTTGTTCGTAACATTTGTCATGAATCTTACAGCAGCGATCAACTCCATTTACTGGTATACCGGAACCCAAAAAGCCACAGTAGCAGCCATACCCCTTATAAATAAGTGGATCACAGCCAGTTGAACATTTTATCATAGAGTAAAGCTCGATAACGTCACGCTTAAAGCGTTCAACAGATTTATTTCTTTCATTTGGATCCACGAAGCTGTTTGCGGTATTGTTACTATAAACATAAGTAATATTATATTGAATTATTTTATGACAAAATAATATATAGAATATAAGTAAGGTAAAATGTGACTAAGACAAAGACTTAATTATAAAAATAGTTTATAATATTTTAATAAATAAGCAAAGTTATGAAATATATTTATAAATTTTGATTGAATTTACCGAAACTCCCATTTAGTGGAATAACCAAAAGGGTCATTTGCGCGAGCTATATAAATGTTAGAATCTTCTAGCTTCATTTTGGATAGATTGTAAGGATCGTCACTATATTTACTCTCGTTAATCAAATCAGGACCAACTTTTATATCTTCGGATGTAAAATTATTTAAGATCTCAACTGCAGGGTATTCATCATTTCTTAAAGAATAAACGTATTACTCCGATTGCATATAATACATAAAATTTAAATTAATTACTTTGAGTTTGTTGCAGAATTAACTGGAGATGACAATTCTCCTGTCCAACCGTCTAATCCAAAAATGCTCCAATCATTTTTTTGTGTATGCTCTATTGCCAATGGTTCATTCTCACCTGCTTTTATAACGACTCCGCTGGTAATATCTTTGTTGTTCACAATAATTGTCTGCTTAAATCTATGAATCTTCTTCTTCATATCGCTCATATATTGCGTGGAGAGATTTGGAAATACAGGCTCCATAAGATTATTGCGACTCATATATAACATAGAATATCCATTTCGTTGATCTGGTATTTTAAATATGAGAGTTCGATGATTATATATATCTGTTATATTATACATATTCGGCACAATTTTGTAAATATTTTCCGTATTATTCGTAACTGTTTTAAATGCATTCTGTATGTCTCGCAAAATTGTCTGAGTTGTTGTATTATCCATATTTAAATTATATTCATAAGATATGCGAATAATGGATGTACAGCTGAAATAAATAGTAAACCAGATGAATTTGTACAGTATCATTATGAAAAGCCACTATTAGGTATGTCGGAAATCTATTTGAAATTTTTTGTACTTTATAAAAAAATTATTTCTGATATATTTTCAAGTTCACTCCCATCTCTGTCCAAAGTCACTAACAAAGTAATTGTTAAAAATTTTTTTAAAAAATCTTATGTTAGTTATTTTTTGGCCATAATAGGTGTAAAAACACCATGAAAGACTTTTTAATAACCAAAAATACGTTACTTGTCGGTTATGACGATACCATAAGAGCCCTACATTTATGAACAGTTATTATGATGTTTGAATTTTAAAAGAAAAACTTCATGCTATTTAAATATTATTATAAAAATATAATATAATTATGCAAAAATTATTTTATTATATGTAGTGACGGAAAAGCTTTTTAAAAACCGAAATTTTTTGCTAATTACGTTAGATAAACAAAATTTACAATTAAAAAAGCTTAACATAATACAATGAATTATTATGTTATACCAATTAATAGCAATAAATTAATATCGTTAGGTTGTTGAAGTTAACGTAAAAAGTTTACAATTGATATCTGATATATTTATATTGGTATATGTGTAGTTGCTTACAGTTGTGTGTTATATATCATAGTGTAACTGTGTTTGTTTGAATTAGAGAACTACTGAAATAATACTGAAAGTATAATCATAAAAAGTAAGTGTAATTATTATTTTTTTCTTAAAAAATACTATCCTTCATTTAACGATATTGCGTTGATAAGTATCACAAACGATAAATCAGCATCACAAAAGTTAGAATGATTTCTTGCTATGAATAAAGTAGAACCAAACGTTCAAATATTATAAATCAGTGAGTATATGTTATTAACTGTATTGATTGCTATATTTTTAATTTGTATATTTGCGACTAAGACCGTTTGTGAGTTCGAGTAAATTGAGGAAAATAGTAAATTATGGAAGTATGGCAGCGAATGTTGGTATTTACCAGAATTTCGAGCAGGGTAAATTGGATAAAAATTAGGTAAATTAATTATTACCATTGTGAAAATTTTATAAAATGTTTGATAAATAAATATGAAAACTTTTAAACAAAAATAATAAATAAGTGCAATGCAAAAAATCCCTAAGAAATTTCAGAGCGTTTTTATTTGTTTAGCATTAAATTTTTTTGTATATTTTTATTTTCTTTTTGTATGTAAGGGTCCAATCTTGTTAAAATCCCTCGACTTGCATCATATTTACTTAATTTGATTAATTCAGAACAACAATTTTATATTGATCGTGGTAAACTATCAGGATATGCTATTAGTATTAATATGTATATTATATATACATACACTAAGCACTAAAGTACTTTAAATGAAATGAAAAAAGTTATCTTTCAAACTATATATCTCATATATATTTATAGTTAACTTTTGTACATATATACGTTTTACCTTAGTAAAGTGCTAAGTATGCCGTACGAATTTATTGTATGGCAACTTAACAAATAAATAAACTAGATCAGGTTTATTATGGTTAACAAAACTAAGTAACAGAGTAATTAAACCAAGGCACTGATACAAACATATTAAAAACTAATACCTTCTTTGTAATTTTCGTTATAATTTCCCATGTTTTATTAAATATTTTTAGGTGTGATGACGTAGAATTTGCAAATTTCTTTTAGGCAAGTACGTTTGTAAATTAGCATATTGAAAGTAAAAGCATTATATATACTATATACGTACATAAATAAATTTGGCTAATGAACTTAAATAATTTTTAGACGTTTAAATATTTTTATCTGTTTTATTTAGTATTTTCTACACCAACAATGTGCATCTTTCGAATTTTAATTTAAGTAACATACTAGTATTTCGTAAAAACCTTAAAAGTGTAAATAAACGAATCTTTTATCTATTACACGCTCCTTATGATTATATTTTTAATTTGCTCTAGGGTAACATTTATTAATACATTGTTTATACAGATTGCATTTTTTTTTATTTTGTTTAATTAAGTGAATTACAATAATAAAAGTGAGTAGTGCTTACTTAATTTCGAAAGTGTACATATGTTGCATTAAGTGGTCTTCACGGCTCACATAAACATAATTATTATCTACAACACATAATAACAATTATAATATCAGGTTAGTATGACTAAAAATTAAATGATTTTTCTTGATTTTTTTATTAATTGTTACTTGTTTTACATAATGTTATATCAGATGAGGAAGCTTTGAATTTCACAACAACTACTAAGAAGTGAGTATTTCTCAGTAAGTCGAACAGGTAAAATTATGTTAAGAGGCGATATGTACTAGTAGCAGTAAATTATGTTCAAAGAGGTGGAGATATATACTAGAAATAGTAAATATTATGTTTAAATAGATGATAGAAGAAGTTACTATACAATTATTTTATCTTTCTTTAAAACAAATATTAGTTTTACAAAATTTTTTTAAATAAATAAATGTATTTTTTATAATACTTAGTGAGTTTATTGATAGTAATTCTGCAACAGCAATTAACTGACGTTTTGCGTTGATCTAACAAAAAAAAACCAGATATCAAGCAACAATCTAGATTTCGTAATAGAAAATTTCATTATTGTGGATTCTGGTATACTAAATACTAAACTAATCCTAATAGATTTAATTTCAATAAGTGTCTTCAAGACAGCAGAAATACTTTATAACAAAATCATTTCATTGATTGTTTTATAGCTTATTCACACATCAGAAGCAATTGTTATTTTGATTTTAATTTACTCAGCGGCTTGTTCGACTAAGTTTTTACAGAATTGAGTTAAAATTACTGTCAGAATTCACTAAGACTACGAAGTTATAACCGAAATATAATTTATAAAAAATCGAATTGAAATTAAAATCATTTTATTCATTATAATAAAATTGTGTAGCGATATGATGAATAATTTTCATAAACTAAAGTAAAACACAACAAGATTTTCATTATTGAAAGCAATTACAAAAACAAATATAGAAAACAAAATTAAGATAAAATTAAGATTTGCTTTGTGAACAAGATTTTTAGCGAAGCAAAACGAGAGTCAAATTATTATTACTTGTGCCGTGTGAATACACTATTAAATAGAATATTTGATGACATACATGTGTACATCTAAAAAAATATAGAGAAATAGCAGTTTTTATGGAATAAATTTAAAATCTATATATCATCACAGTTTCCTTTGCTGAATATCTGTAATAATACACAAAAGTAGATTCTGTCTCATTAGCTGATTTCAAAACGGATTCTCAAAATTATAATTCGAAGACTAAAATAAAAAAAATATATGGAATCTTATAGTGGATTAAGGTTCTTAAGATTTTTTATATATAAGTGGAGAAAACTGGTTTTTGTTTTATATGTATTGAATTTCTTTGTATTGTCAAACTTTTATGAAGCAATTTTATTATTTATTAAGTTATTAAATAGTATAAGTAATTAGTACAAAAAACAAGTCCTAAATACTTATAAAACAATTTAAAACAGTTTTATATTTTTTTTCTTAATTTTTCTCTTTTTTGTTAGTATACTCGTTAAAAAAAAATGTATATGGAATCTTATAGTGGATTAAGATTTTCAAGATTTTTTATATATAAGTGGAGAAATCTGCTTTTTGTTTTATATGTATTGAATTTCTTTGTATTGTCAAACTTTTATGAAGCAATTTTATTATTTATTAAGTTATTAAATAGTATAAGTAATTAGTACAAAAAACAGGTACTAAATACTTATAAAACAGTTAATGAGAAATATATATTTTTTTTCTTAATTTTTCTCTTTTTTGTTAGTATACTCGTTACCGCATTACTTCCTTTATTTTGAAACCTTTGTCTTGCTTTGCAATAATTCATTGTTGGCTTTCTTTAAAAATATTGCTAAATAAGATTTTCAATTACTAACTGTATGAGTTTTTAGATTGAATACCGCAAATATTTACAAATTTTGTTATAGTTTTTTATACATAAATATTCAAAATCCGTAAAATCAAAATGACAGCCAATTACTATATCTTTAAATATGAGTTCTTCGTAATAGATGCGGACGAAAATAATTTATTAATTAAAACTGCTGCTTCGGAAAGTTTGGCTTCATGTATACATTTTTTATACAAATTCAATGCTTCTCAAACTGTTATAAATATTATATATATATATTAAGAGCTGGCAACCTTTACATATGACCCTGAAAATATTTGACGTTGTCTTTCTTTTGCAATTTTATATTCACACAATTTTCGCTTAACTCGATTTTTAAACAACAAAAAACACGAAGAAGCAACAAGCATCCATCCAAGTCAGCGCCAGCACGTGTCTCTCTGCTAATATTGTAAAGTAATCAAATAAAAATTTTGCATAAATATTAAAGCGAGCGCCATTAGCAACAGAATAGTTTAATTACTTTAATGAAATTTATATAAATTACATTGTTTACAAACATTAATAGTCCATAAACAAATTCGCCGGCGAATTTGTTTAAACAAGTGTTTTTTCTAAAGTCCTTAAGTACAAAACAAATATTTAAAGTATTTTGAAGGTTAATAATATACATACAAAAATGTTTTACTTAATTGGTTTGGGTTTGGGCGATCCTAAGGACATTACAGTAAAAGGCCTTGAAATTGTAAAAGCTTGCAGTCGTGTTTACTTGGAAATGTATACATCAATTTTGGGGTGTCCAAAAGAGGAATTGGTTGTATACCATTAAATGCTATATAAATGTTTGTATTTAATTTTATTTTTGAATTTAATTTTCAGGAAGCTTTTTATGGTAAGCCAATTTTGCTAGCTGACCGCGACCTTGTAGAGCAAGGTGCAGATGATATACTTGCTGGTGCTGCTGAAGAAGATGTAGCGCTCTTAGTAGTGGGTGATCCATTCGGAGCTACTACGCATACAGATTTTATATTGCGAGCTAAGGAGAAGAAAATTCCCTATAAAGTAATACATAATGCATCGATTATAAATGCAATTGGCTGTTGTGGCCTACAATTGTACAAATTTGGTGAAACTGTTTCGATACCTTATTGGGATGAAACCTGGAAACCTGATAGTTTTTATGATAAAATCAAATTAAATAGACTTCATAATATGCATACACTCTGCCTGCTTGACATAAAAGTCAAAGAACCCACCTTGGAATCATTAATGCGAAAACGTAAAGAATACATGCCACCTCGTTTTATGACTGTCGCTGAAGCTGCACAACAAATATTAACGATTGTCGATAAAAAGGATGCGCTGGAACGTAATACCATTTTAAATGAACAATCATTATGTGTAGGTTTAGCTAGAGTTGGACACGACACGCAACAAATTATGGTTTCCACACTACGTGATATGAGCAATGCTGATCTCGGCGGACCATTACACTCATTAGTTATACCAGCTAAAGAAATGCATCCTCTAGAAATAGAGTTTTTACAACAATACACTTCTATTAAACTAGATGATTATAATCATTGAGACTTTTAATTATGACATTCTATAGAAATCTGAAAATGATTGGCGCAAGTGCAAAATAACTAATTAAAATTATTATGTGTAAATCTTCTTATTCTTATTTGCCTATTTAGATTTAAGTATGGAAGTATTTGATAATTTCATTATAATTGTTTTTAGTCTAATGTGTTGTGCATTTGTATTAATATTAACTTGTATAAGAAGTACTTCAGTGTATAAAAATTATTTTAAAATATTTGCAATTAAACTTTGTTATTTTACAAAATGTGTTGTATGTATTTGGTTATAATATGGAAATTGATATAGATTGTAAGATAATATTGTATGAAACAACGGAGAAAAAAAAAGAGTTACTAAAATTTTGGAAATAATCATAAAATACTAGGCTTAGTACTAATAAAAACTTCTTTAAAGTTGTTTTAATGGACTAGTACCATTTATTTTAACTACTAAATGCAAACAATAAAACAAAGAGTCGTAATAAGCAACCTACCAGAAAAATTGAGAACACTACATTAAACAAAACTTTTCAAAGATAAATTGGCGTTAAGGAAGTGCCACTCATAAATTCTATTGGAGCCGCACTCGCAAGGACTGCAAATCAAAAATACGTCTGTAGTTATGGGAGGGCAACAGTCACAAATATGTTAACATTCGTTGATGTTGACTTTTATTCGTTAGAACTCAAAATATAGTACTGCCTGTTTTACCTCGATCGATCATAGATCAAATTTGGCAATGAATTTATATACACAACTATAGAAACTAAACTTGTGTTATACTAAAATTCACTGTATTTTAAATCTTCGTTTCTTGATTTGAAGACTTATATACGTTCGCAACATATAGGCAGAGTATTCGTAAAAAAATGTTATATTTAGTGTTTAAAAGTTTAAAATAATGTATGGTAAGATAGATAGACATAAGAATATACTTTTTGTGTTGTATTTTAATCGTGTATTTTACACATATGTTAAAAAGTTGCTCATGGCAGATACAAAGAATTTATTTATTTAATTAGTAACTTGATATCTTAAACAATATAATTATTAATTTCAATAGTACAAACCGCGCATACGCCTACCAGAGCCTTGGCGGTCATATAGTATATTAAACTTATTGATGAAATTGTTCATATCATTGCAACCTTTTGTAAGTGTACCCAAATAACTTATAAGTATGACGTCGTTGCACTGTGTATAAAATTCTTTATGAAAGGCTTCATCTTGCATAACAGGCAAGCGGTGACTTAGTGCATAGATGTCACGTAAAATCTCATGATCAACCGGCAATTTACCAGCGTTGACATCTTTTACATATTTAAGTATAATTTTAATACGTTTACTTAACATTTTAATGGCACTACCAGTTGCGACCAATTGTTCAGCTACAACTGACTTTTCGCCAGTCTCATTAGTAGACATACGGGCTACATGATCTACGCCTATACGTTCAGCCTCTTCTGTTGCTAATGTATATGTTAAAGGAACAAAAAGCATAGTAGCTTCGCCATTAATCAAATCAATTACAGTTTCATAAAGTTTAAGTGGTAACTGCTCTACACTACGCGATAACGGATTTAATTGTAACATAATGGGACATTCATTAATGTTGGCAATTTGCTTTTGTATTTTTAGGTCTCTCTCAGTAGGTGCTTCACCTGTTGTATACCAACCAATAAAATCCAAATCACTGAAAACCTGCAATAAAATTAAACTTGTACTTCAGTAATTATATTACGCTAAAAACAAACCTTTTTGTATTGCTGCTCTTTTGTGTTATAGTAGTCTAAATTTATGATAACATCATCACCCACATTATCCACTTTTAATTCAAACGAGTTCATTACTTCAATGTTGCGGCCTTTTTCTTTGCCAATCAGTGCACCATAAACTTGTGTTATTTCCCCAGATTGTGCTCTTATGCGTGTCCAGTGCTCAGAGATATTCATTATGACCAATGGATGCAATGATATTGTTACAGATAGTACAGTACCTGGACCAGCCATTATGGCTGATTTAGGAGTTACTTCTACGTCCACGTCCATTTGCTCCATGCTGAAATCAAAATCTGTATTTAAGTCCCGCAGTGAACAACAAACTTGGAAATATCCGTAAAAATGCAATACACCGTGTAAAGAGTTGCCAACCTTAAGAACTGGCAATTAAATAAAATATAATACTTACAAATACTCGGAATTATCAATTATTTTATATAAATTCTTTATATATCAATAAGCAATTGTTTGAGTGGCTTGTTTAAGTTTTTATTGTTTGAATCAGCTATTTTGTTAACTCAGTTGCCGTTATAATTTAAATAAACATATATATGTAAATATATATATCGTACCAAAGGAATATAAAAATATTATTTACTGAAATAATTCATTAAATTTAATTATTAATCATTTCATCATTTTCTGTAAATATTACCAAAAAATCAACAAAATTATCATTCACAGCAAATTATATAATGCGACAACCAGAAGCAAGCAACCTCTAAAGCTATTTTATAAGAGTTCAGAATCAGCTGTTATAATCAGCTTAAGACACATTTTAATTTTACCAATTAAAAATCGTTTTATAAATGTTGCTTTGTTAACTACAAAATAATTCACAAAACAGGGAATTTCATTTGTAAAATAATTTATAATAATAGCACATGAATTTTTTAAAATAGTTTATTGATAGTTGTTAATAGGAGCATTTAGCTGATTTAGTGGAGATAGCAAAAACTAAATTGCTTTTTGCAGCGTTCCTGATGAAATGATTGCTGCTGCAGTATCAGTTGAATAATAATTTGACAGCAACATCTGCAGGGAGAATAAACCAATTTAAAAATGGCAAGCGAATGTAACTATTATAATATTCCCACTGTAGTTTAATCAATTTATGGTAATCAAATGAAGATTTGGTGATTTCCATTGGTATAAGTTGATTATTGCTTGTGTAAGAGCTTTTATGTGTCAGAAAGTTCTGTGAATGTTCTTTTCGTTTGTTTGTTAGCGGATAATATTTAATTTTGTATTGTTAGCATACGATAGTACGAAAGTATGCTAACAATACATAAACAAGGTTTTTAAGGTTTGCATTGCGTATTTTTAATTATGCTTAATTAAACTAATTAATTAATTAATTAAACTGATTTTTTAAACTATATATTTAGTTTCATTTACTTACTTAACTCTATTTACTTACTTAATTTACTTAATCTTCATTTATACGTTGCAATTTAAAACTACAGCGTGTAAATGTAGATTTGATTGTGTCAATTTGAAATAAAAATATATTGTGTGTTTACCCTTACAAATTTTTAATAATTTCATTGCGGGAAAAAAAAAATATACAAAGATATTATAATTGTTTTCATTTTGTGGCATTTATTTGTTTATCTGATAAACTAATTGTCAAGCCAAATGGATTTGATTGATGAGAAAAATAAAAAAAAATTAAATGACTACATATTGTATCCTGAAAACCCAATTTTCAATCAAGTGCCGGATATAATAGAAAGAACTTATGATGAGATGCGACTTCTACATATGCCCAAAGCTCCTGCCAGCACAAAGTTGGTACCTAGACGTGATTTTATGACAGGAAAAATAATTAAATTTGAAGAAGTTGACTTGGAGGATGTAGGGGCCAATGCATGTAACTCCACTTCAATGCGGCGTGAGCCGGGTCTATTAGAAGAAACCACTCATGGATCATCAAAGAATTATCCTTTCCTACCTGGTGGTTTTGATGAATTACCTCGTATTAAACTTACTGCCGATAATTTTGATTTTGGTACGGAATTATTAACAGTTCCTCCTGGGTTTTCAAAAGGCCATGATTTTGCCAATAAATCTGAGTTCAATTCGCATTCATTCATTAAAATCCAAAATGAACATAAGGACAACATTAATTTATTAGATGATCTTGAAAAGGATTTAGATGTGCAAGAATGGCTTAAGTTAAGCAATCAAGTTACGGGTAGTGAAAAATCGAACGCAACAGGTAATCAGCTTCTAGAGTATAAAGACGTGGACGAAGATATATTGAAAGAAGACGTTAGGCCCGTTATCGAAATATCAAAATCCAATACAAAATTAGTTCAAGCTCAGTGGGCAGAAATGGTAGATATAACACAACCAGTAACAGATTTTAAAGAAAAAGTACCCTGTCCTGCTATGACATATCCGTTTGAACTAGATGTGTTCCAGAAACAAGCAATAATAAAGCTTGAAGAACGAAAGTATGTTTTTGTCGCAGCTCACACTTCTGCAGGTATTTTTTAATTCAGTTTCGCATTATAATATATAAAGTATTAAAATGAATTTTAAAACCTTCTTAAAGGCAAGACTGTGGTTGCAGAGTATGCGATTGCTTTGTCGAAACGTGATCTTACACGAACCGTTTACACTTCACCCATCAAAGCACTTTCTAATCAAAAGTATCGCGATTTCAAAAAAATGTTTGACGATGTCGGTTTAATAACAGGCGATCTCCAAATAAATCCAACCGCAAATTGTCTTATTATGACTACAGAAATCTTACGTTCAATGTTATATTGCGGAAGCGAAGTTACAAGAGATCTCGAATATGTGATTTTTGATGAAGTACACTACATAAATAATCCTGAACGCGGTCATGTATGGGAAGAAGTTATAATCTTGCTGCCTGATCATGTCAACATAATTATGTTAAGTGCTACGGTACCTAATACTATGGAATTAGCTAATTGGGTGGGAAGCACTAAAAAACGAAAAGTTTATGTAATTAGTACATTGAAACGCCCAGTACCATTGCTACATTATTTGTATATTGGTTCCAATGGGAAATCTAAAGATGATCATTTTCTGTTAGTCGATGACAAAGGAACGTTTATGGATGATAACTATAAATTAGCTGTACAAAAAAAAGATGAAATGCAAGCCAAATGGAAAACTGTATCTAAAGGTAAACCTGGCCCTAAAATGGGACTGAATCCAAAGCAGGAAACAAGAATATGGATTGGCATAATAGAATTTTTAAAACGCCATAACAAAATGCCTGTTGTTGCATTTACACTATCTAGAAATCGCTGTGATCAGAATGCTCAGGTAATTAATAAATAAACACGAAAACAACACTACAACTAAAAATTTTCATTATTTAGAATTTAACATCTGTTGATTTAAATACTGCTTCAGAAAAAGGAGCAGTGCACAAATTCTTCCAACAGTGTTTAACAAAGTTGAAACCGCCTGATCGTAAGTTACCACAAGTCTTAATTATGAAAGATTCACTAGAGCGTGGTATAGGAGTTCATCATAGTGGTATATTGCCTATACTTAAAGAAATTGTGGAAATGTTATTTCAAAATGGTCTCGTCAAATTGCTGTTTGCCACTGAAACATTTGCTATGGGAGTTAATATGCCAGCACGAACTGTGCTTTTTGATTCTCATAGAAAATTTGATGGAATAGAGCAAAGAAATTTGAAACCTGCGGAATATATACAAATGGCTGGCAGGGCTGGTCGACGTGGTCACGATGAAAATGGTACAGTTATGATGATATGTAAGCAAGCTATACCTCCTGCAATGGAAATGCGTGCAATGATACTGGGACAACCAGAGAAACTTTGCTCTCAGTTCATATTACGTTATGCTGTTATATTGACTTGCCTGAGAATTGAAAGCATTAAAGTGGAAGATATTATGCAATATAGCTTCAAAGAGTTCTATCAAAAACAACAAATTCCAAATCATCAAAAGCAGTTACAAGCTGCTCAAGATACTATCGAAAAAATGCCACCGATGGGAGAACATTTAAAGCCACTATGCGAGTTTTTTGATGCAGCAAATAATTATATTGCGGAAAAGAAAGCTGCAATAACATACATTTTTGAAAAAAATGTAATTTGAAAATATATTAAGTAATTATTTATATACATTTAATAACAAATATTTATTTTCACAGCATAAACTACATAAAGAACTCAAGATAGGACGGGTTATTATTATAACTTCTGGCAAACACTTTAATAAATTGGGTATAATTTTGCAAATTTCCAAAGGTCTCTCCAAAGAGCCCAATTTCAGAGTATTAGTGCTAGATCATCAATTCAAAAACACAACGCCGGAAGTATGCTGATTATTAAATATTTCATTTTCTACAAAATTTAATTTAAATTTTTGCTTAAAGGAATATAAAGATGAATTATTCTATAAAATGGTCTCACTGACACCACAAAATAAATTTTTCCATCCCGAAGGTATTGGTGGTCATGCAGTTGTGGATATTAAACCAAACGATATTGTGGATATTACTAGACAGTTTGTAAAAATTGATGCCGATGTAGTATTAAGAGATTGGGATCAAAGGCAAATAGAGCGATTTAAGGACACATCACCAGGAACATGGGTAACGAAGATTGTATCTGAATTGCATCAATTAAATGAGCAGTACAACGCTAATCCCAATTCGATGAAGATATTTAACATCTCCAAAGAAGTTAATCTATTTACTGACCAAGAATTTGAAAAAAGAGATTCTAAAGACGTTGTCAAAGACTTAAATTCGGTTTTACCTCATACGAATATTGCAGGGTTTGAAGAAGAATTCGGTGTTGTATTTGGGCGTAAGCTTCTTCTACGTAAAATCGAGGAATTGAAGTTCAAGAATTCTACTAAAAATTTATCACTATATCCAGATTATTGCAATAAAATGAAAGTACTAAGAGCACTGGAATACGTAGATTCATGCGATGAAGGTATAAATTATTTATTCAAACTATATTATCTTATTTATTATAGATGCGATTTGTTATTGTTCCTCGTATCTTTCCATCATTTATTTAAGCAACGAAAGTTAAACGAGAGTGGTAAACGCCGCTATGTATTAATTATCTTGTGATGAATTAAAAAGTTAATTCTGTAAACGAACCTTATTGGCATAATTAAAACATGACGGGTATTCCTATGCTCAGAGTACCTTATGTTACCGTATTTCTTCTATGATCAAGTTTGAAATCTTTAAATCTTAATATATCTTTATAAAGATATATATTTTTTTGCATAATAAGAGACTATCTTCTTAATGTAATGCCTTGTAACTGCTGCGATGTATGCGAGTTAGTGACAATATATTTACTGCCAAATGTATACAAATATATATTTATATATATATATATTCTTTAAATTTATTGAATTACGTGCAAATGTCTTTATTAAGATCATGCTATTTACTATAAATTTTTGACTAACAGTGCTTTTTTTTCTTATTGTACTCTCTTAACTTACTGAGTTTATTCCTAAGATAGAAATAATGCTTGATACAAGGAATGATAGTAAAATAACCTTTTTGAGAATGTTTTTATACATAATTTTTGTTTTAATTTAAATAGTTACATTAAAAGGCAAAGTGGCTTGTGAAATGGGGCAGAATGAATTGCTTATTACAGAAATTATACTCTGTAATATTTTTAATGAACTTGAACCTTATGAAATCGCTGCTCTACTATCCGGTTTAGTGTTCCAAGCTAAAGTGAAGGAAGAACCAGAAATTCCATTAAGACTTAGAAAGGTAAGCAAAAAGTTATTAAAATTAAATATAAATTATTTAGTGAAGAGGTAATAATTTAAGTATACATTTAACTAATACCAAAAAATACAAAAGAAACATTTATAATTAATATTTTTCATAACTTATCAATATAAATAAACCCTGAGTTTTTCCTACATATACAGTAACACAATGGGCCAATCGGCCTAAGTGGATCCACCAGGAATCGCCGGTATAACCTAACCTAACATATCAATATAAACAAATACTCCGATTTCCTATTAGAAAACAATTACTTACTTACTCGTCCCCGTTTAATTAAAAATAAATTATGAAAATATATTTATTATAAAACTATTAAATTATTTGTCTTTGTAGTGCGTTGAAGAAATTTATCGTATCAACGAGAGAATCGTACAGGAAGAGCTTCTTCATCACATTAGCGAATCTGAGGAGCGACTTAATTTTGGACTGATACACGTAGTTTATGAATGGGCGAGAAATAAAGTAATTCCAAATGAAATAATATATAAATTATTTATACAAATATCACATATATCTGTTTAGCCTTTCGCAGAAATAATGACCCTAACAGATATTCAAGAAGGTATCATTGTTCGTGTTATACAGCAATTAGATGAACTACTGCGTGACGTTAAGACTGCCTCTATACGTATTGGAAATCCGGTGTTGCAGCATAAAATGGAAGCGGCATCAAATGCAATAAAGCGTGATATTGTTTTTACAGCTAGTTTATATACTGAATTCTAATATTGTATTTAATATTGCATAAAAAGTTATTTATACAATTCTTATTCAAATTTAATGTTCAAATCAAATTTGTTAAAATTTATATTGGAGTTTTACGTTATTACGTATGAAAATTTTTGTAAAACAGTCTCTGAATTTATCTTATTTGTTACAGTTTTTGACTGGTGTTTTTTAATAAATTTATATTGTAATGAAATTATAAAAAGTTGTGTTTTTAAAAGTATAATATTATGAACTAATTTATCTGGATTCTGGCTTAAATTTTGGCGGTAACAACATGCCACCCATATGTTTTTGTTTTTTAGTTTTTTTTGATTTACTCGCACCAGACTGAAAATCATGCCAACTATTAACACGACTTTGTCGAGATTCTTCAAAGTTCTTCTGCCATTCTTTTTCAGCTTTTCGCTTATCCTCCTCTTCAATTTCAGCTTCACGTTTTCTTTTCCGCTCCTCTTGATCACGTTGTTCTAGTTGTTGTCTTCTTCGTTCCATATCAGCAAAAAGTTTCATAACCATTACATAGACAGCATGTTTGTATTTCTCCGGATCATCCTCGGGTATAACCTCAAAGCCTTTACATTCTTTTTTCTGTTTTTTACGCTTCTCTGCAATCTATTTAACACACAAAAATTGATTAAATTAATTTTTATTATATACAATGTAACTAATTACCATATGATCGGTACGTTCTTTTGCTTCTTCGTAGATGTCCAAGCACCTCTTACGTGTGGCTTCATTCTCTAACGTCCTCCAAGCACGATTTATAATATCAAATGCCATTTGTGCTCGATCCTTGTCATTTTGATTTTTGTCTGGATGCACAAGTATAGAAAGAGTACGATATCGCTTCTTTATGACATCTATTTCAGCTTCTGGTTCCACTTGCAGCACTTCAAACGGATTTAGGTTGAAATAAGTCGAACCTGGTCTAAGTAAACGATCAATTTGTTGAGAAGAAGTTAATACAGAATCGCGTTTTTCTATTTCTTTAACCTGTAATATATTCGAAAGGAACTCAAATTTTAATATTTTGAACAGAAAAATTGAATAGCACCAGTTTGCATAGGTACATATTTAAACATATATATACAATTATATACATTTATTTATGTATGCAGCGTCCGAACGAACTTACTTCAGAATAAAATGTATCAAAAGACTCCTTTGATGTAGACGGTTCATCGGATTTAGTGGACATTTTATCAAAATAATGTGTTTAGTTTGCTTTAAAAAGTTTCAAATTCTCACTTATTAGTAAACAACAAAATTATTAAAAGTAATACAAATATCTAAATTACAGATGTCAAAACTGGTATAAAATGAAAAGGTATAAAATCGACGCCTCGTTTGTCAAATTTGAGTGACACACACTTGTCAGTTTAGCTTTTATTAATTAAACATATTACCTACATATTATTATATGTTATATTATATATTATAAAATTATATACTATATTAATGTATATTTTAATATACATACATAATGAAACATTCATGCATATATAAGGTAATGATATATTTTTAACTTCGGCCGTGTGCGAGTTAGAGTAAATTGAGGTAAAGAAAATTGAAATTTCATAGGGATTTTTTGCGCTGCACTTATGTAAATATTTATTTATTGCACTTATTTATTGTTTTTGGTTTAAAGTTTTTAAATTTATTTATTAAGCACCTAAATTTTCACAATGGTAACACCTTATTTACCTAATTTTTATCTAATTTACCCTATTCTATATTCTAGTAAATACTAACATTGGCTGCCATACCTACCAGTTATATTGTTGCTGTAGCCCGAACACCATTTGTATGAACCGAATTCTTTTGTTATCATATATTGTGCATATAAAGCATAATGAATAAGACTGCCAAAGAAGATTTTAACTTCTTTTATCACACAAATGTAAACTTAACTTAAAAGCTAATATGTAAATCCCTTTTTAAAAAATGTAACCAACTAGAATTAAAATGGAAATCCCCTCTGTAAGCATTCGTTCGATTTGGTGTGGATGCACTTTTAAGCAAATCAACCCACGATTTGCGTTGATTCGCATTGCGTCTCAAAAAAAAAATAAGTTTTGGCTTCAAATTTCAGTACATGGTTACAGAGGGGATTTAAATTCTATTTCTTGTTGGTCACATTTTTTAAAAGGGTATTTACATATATTGAGTTTTAAGTTAAAAGGTCTCAGTTTACATTTGTGTGGTGAAGTGGAAAGGTATATTTCTAATTTATAAAGTATAAAATTTAGTCAAAAACGAAAACAAATTTCTTAAGAACAAAAGTTAGACATTTTAAAATGTTTCAAAATTGGAAAAAAACCTGCTGACATTGGGAGCGTTCTGAGTTTAGCTCCAACTGCTATAAGAACAATTTGTTATCGTGATGCCGACAAGATAAAGGACTATGGAAAATCTGTCGCACATTTGCCAAACAAGTTACTAGAAAATGAAACTAGAAGTCCATTAATGGTAAAAATGGAGTCACTTCTATTCATTTGGATGAAAAATCAGAATCAAAGAAAAAATTTCATTAAGCGAAATGTTAATTCAGAATAAGGCTGTGTTCTATAAGCTAAAAGGTAATTCTTCATCAACAGGTGGTCAAAAAATAGAATATTTTTTTTTTATTAGTGAATCATGTCCTTCATAGGTAAAAAATCTCAAACATGTTTGCCAATGTAAAAGAGTTTTAATGAAAAAATAAATTATACCATTTTGTTTAAATACAAAAACAATAACCTCAATCATAATAGCATGCGCTTTATATTTCAATGTCAATTACAAATATTAAAAAATTATACACGTTACTAAATAAAAGAAATACTATAAAATCCATATTTCACTGTGGATATAGTGCAAAATGTGAGACAATGTCTAAAGACACAGATAAGGCGACTCATATCGTGTGGATGGATCTTGAAATGACCGGCTTAAATGTGCGACATGATAAAATTATGGAAATTGCTTGTTTGATAACAGACAGGAATCTAAATATATTATCAGAAGGTCCATGTATTGCAATTAAGCACTCAGATGATGTTTTGAAAAATATGAATGAGTGGTGTCAAAAACATCATACAGAATCAGGACTGGTGAAGAAATGTATAAATTCTAACATAACAACAAATGAAGCAGAATGTTTAATATTGAAATATTTACAGAACAATATACCAAAAGGTAAATGTCCATTGGCTGGTAATTCCATATATATGGACAGATCTTTTTTAAGGGAACACATGCCAGCTTTAGATGATTTTATGCATTATCGTGTTATTGATGTTTCAACCATAAAAGAGTTAGCCAGGCGCTGGAATAATGTTGTATATAATTCTGCTCCTGAAAAAAAACTTGCTCATCGCAGCTTGGATGATATAAAAGAAAGTATTGAAGAATTGAAATACTATAAAAATAATTTATTTATTAATATGTAATTATTTTTATTTATATTTCTAATATATTTTTTAATAAACGATCTTTCTTTTTATGAAATAAACAAATGTTTTTTAATATACTAAATTTGCTCTAGCACTGATTACTATCAAATTTAATACTAATGTTCAAATGAAATAAGATATTTGTTTACTATGAGCTTTCGATTTTTAAATTAATATGTATTATTATGTTATTTATATTTACAAAGCACTAGTATAAAGAGTGAGTAATAACTGAAACATAATAATGGTATTTAATTTATTAAATTAATTTAAATTAACATTTCAGTAGTTTGTCTTATTATATCGGTTATTAACTGATCCTTTCACCGAAGACGTCAACATCTTCTATTGTGCTTTCCATCAGCAGACACTGAATGAAACATCTTACCTGTAGGAAATGAAAATGCTCGCCGATATAATTAAAATAGATTAAAGATGGAATCAAATTAAAGTTTATGTTATCTTATCTTTTAGGATAAATATTAGAATGTAATTAACCAGTCATGATGCCATAGTTATGAAAAACTTATAACATTTTAATCTTTGTAAAGTTTTGTAAAAATAAATTTATTGAACTTTTATCTATTGCTTATTTTTTAGAATTACATCATAAGTTATGAATTATTAATATATAAAAAAAAATGTTTTAATATATTAAATGCTTATTACATGTATAAATCACATTATCGTCATACATCTATGTAATGTATGGGCAACTAAAAATTAAATCGGTGAAAATCTTTAAATGTCTAAATTTGTTCTTTCGTTTTGAAATTTGCTTAAAAGTATTTCAAAAATTTTATTTTTAATAATTTTATATATGATTTTAGAAAAAATTCTAATAACTTTCAAATTAATTATATAATTTTATATCAGTTAGTACGAATATGTAAGCAAAAATAGAATTCGATAATTAGAAACAAAGCTACGACAGCTATAAAAAACTCTATATCTCAATAAACGCCATTTATATTATTATGAGGTGGTGGTAAATTATATTCCTGGGAATCAATTGCTCTCTGAGACGATGTGGAAGCATTTGGTTGTGTTGCATCGCCAGTAACTTTTTCTGCCTCAATACGTCCAGAAAGGAAAGACGCCAAACGTTCCTAAATATGTAAGAGAAATAAAAAAATATTAAAAACATGAAAATATAGTTAATTTATGTATTGGATATACATTACCAGATAAGCGTTTGTTAATCCCTGAAAATTGCCATAAAACGTTATCATACGTTTAAAAAGAGTTTCAGCTTCCTCTTTGGACATAGTCTTTACTTTATCCAATTTCGTTATGCTAATTATGCGATTATTGAAATAAATAACGTGATGTATCACTTCAGTGGTAGTATGGGCCACAGTCCTAGAAACAATAAAATATGTTAACTGATAGAGCATACTAATATACATGTATAAATTATATAATATATATATTAATGTTAATTTTTTCTTGCCGAGTCTGACGCGTCTTTATGACGAATAGAAACTATTTAAAAGTTAGACGGATTTGAATAGTATAGATGAGAATAGTTAGATGAGTACTTGGCAATACTCGAAACAGTGTTATATGGTCAGTCAAATTACATAAATTTTTGTCCTTGTCTTTTTTTGCTATTCAAATCCGTAAAATATATTTTATTTTAAATTTTAAATTTCTAAAATCCATTGAATTTAAAGAGAATCATATTACATATGTAATCTGCAAATCATACTTACTTTGGTAAATTTGAAGCTACATTAGCACTAAAATTCACCAAGTGAACTACACGTCTAGCAGACTCCCGCGTTAACAAAACTATTAATTGTTCCAAAGTAGTAGGACGAGCTTGATTTTCTGGTTCGTCCTTGCTTAAATATTCCCATAGTTCCTTAATTTTTTGCAATGCTAATTTTGGATCTGTCGCAATCTAAAAACATAAAAATATATTTTCATTTATTATTTGTTATACTTGAAATTGAGTGATTGATAATTACCAATTCTGCTGCATATATAAGTATATTTATTGCTTCTTTGCTTTGCTTTTTCAATGCCCTCGCTTCAGCCAGTGTTCTTTGTGTCAAACGACGCTTCAGCTTTCGCGAGAAACGTTGACCGTGATGAATCGCCTTGATGGCGCCTTTTTCGTTCTCTGCTCCAGTGTCTTCATTTGTTGCTAAATAAAAATTTAAAAAATAATCTTAATAGGATCGTATAATTTACGTATTGTTTAAAAAAAGAATTTTGTTTTTAACAGTCAGTCTTATCAGTTGCTCAGGTTATTTGAAGAAATGAGCAAAAAACAGATTTTCGACTTTAATCACGTTTGATAACCTCGCTGTATTTATATATATATTTTTTTAATATTTTCTATTTCAATTATGACATTTTAAATAATTTATTAATGCATTAATATGAGAATGCGTGCTGATGCATTAATTTATAGTCACAGAATATAAATGTGAATTGGGGCCGTCGGTTTAAAGGTTTATAATTAGAAATTAACGCAAAGTATACCATTTATTTGGTATATGGGTATTGGTTACCAATAATGAATCCACTATAATATATTCTATGATCAGTAATAACATTTAATTGTGTGCTATAGACTGGGAATGAAGATTTCGTGATATCGTGTTATCAATAAAATTTTTTATATAACAAACTTCCATTTAAAATCTTGGTATGTGATTATTAAAATTTAAAACTTTGTCTCCAACAAAATTTGGACCCAGATTTGTACACGTTTAATTATAGGAATATCCTGATCTGATAATTTAACTTCACAGGCCTTCCGCCATATTGTCTATACTAACTCATTCTTTATATATTGTGTTTTTGATCAATATGCCTACATTTCTTTGTTGAACAATATTTATTGAAGATAAATTAAATTATTATAAAGTTTTAAGCTTTGACTTGTATTTTTCTCTCTTTGTAAACTTAAACTATATATATATATTGTATATATATAGTATATATATATTATACATATATATTTTAAAGATAAATTTTCTCACTACGAACTTATACAGTCAGAGCTTGTAGTAAATCTACTAATCACAATAAAAATTTAATTTATTTATTTATTATTTATTTGTGAGTTAACACTAAAATTAATTTTAAAATTAATTAAGAATAAGGAACTGAACTACTGGGTCCTTCGTCCTGACAATATAAAAATAGTTTTTCCTTTGTTTAGAAATAAAGCAAAAAGTAATGAAAATATTAATTTATTACTATGAACAGATTTTTTTGACCAAATTACTAAGCTTCGCTATCCGAAAGGACTTTAAAATATATAAATTAATGGATTCTTTTATATATCTAACGGTATTTATAATAATATTTTCTACTTACTATCAGCTTGATCCTGATCTCCATTTATCGGCACTAAATATTTATCAACGAATTTGTCACCAGCAGTAAATGCACCATCAATACGATCAGCTGCATAAGTCGTTAATGGACTTTCTAAAACGGCATTCCCAATATGTTTCATTGAATCGGCACGTTTCAATACCGGTCTCACCAAGTGATCCGACATATATTCTTTAGTATTCCAATACATCTTTAAACATAAAATGATTGTCTAATTTATATCAATAACTTAAATACTTAATACTAAACTTTTTTAGTTTATTTACTGACTTTTTCTTTACTTACCATTTCTGGTGGTAAATAAACCAATGGAATTCTTTGCTCCAAAATATCTAAACTTTTGCACATTACATTATCGATGCGTTTAAGTGGTGCCTCAAATAATTTAACTGCTGGCTGTACAGATTCATAGGCAGCGAAAATTGTAGCTTCAGCTGTTTCAAAGTACCAACTGAAGAGACGATTATTATTCTTTACTTTCTCATATATATTTTCAGCACGTTTGAAACTCATTTCCACCAGTGGAATACTAGTGATGCGATCTATAGCTTCCAAATGAAATTTACTACCGCTTGGTATGTTTGCTTAAAAAAAATATTTTATAATATTTTTATTGTAGATTTTTACTTATAGCAATTTTTGTTTTAATTTTTTATTGGATGTGATGATATTAATATACTAACCCATTTTTTGTATTATTTAAAACTCGGTTATTAAAATATTTCAGTTTTTTTTTGGTTAAAAATATTTAGTTATTAAAATAAATCACTGTATTTTTATTTTTTAAAGCCGCTCTTAAAATATTCACAAATCTGCTAAATAAAGGAATTTTCCCAGTTTGCGCTACTACGATCCGCTACCTACTCGTAAAAGATTTAAATTTGTACTAAGAAATGTAAACGCAGACGTTTTGTTTTAATACAAGATTTAAAATTTCTTGGAATTATTCTTTCTAAAATAATTTTACTCTCACTGATTTTTCGTTTACAATATCATTATATTTATATGTATATATATCGTTATGTACATTCATACGGAATAATGTACTGAGGTATTCTGCATTAGCCTGATCAAGAAAAGAAATGACCTTAAGTCATTTGCAACTGATAAGTGTTGTCTATGATAGTGAATATGTTTCATATTTGATATTTTACTTATATATATATTTATATGTATTTGTTTGTATGTAATAATAGAGTATCTCAACAGTTTGAAATTATCTCTATACTTAAAGTGCATTTTTTTTTTGTTTTTTGAAAATTTCACTTTATTTTAAACTATATGTCACGAGTATATTGTAAAATCACTATAACATCTGATGAACCTATAACATGTGATATATTGGTTCGTTTTATTTATACCGATTATAAGAATAGACAAACTGGAGATTATGAATTTTAGATTCGATGCTATATAATTCTCACAGAAAATATTAATTAAGGACCTTTAATTTGAAATAAGTTTATAGATATAATATGCATAATATATTGCATATCATGTATATAAGATAAGGAAATTATGATATTTTTTGATAATATTCATGCAATATTCAATATTGTTTCAATAGTGTTTCAATAATTGCAACATGACAATTAATCAATTTAATATTTAATAACTTATTAAAATCAGGAAAGAATAGCCATATACTGTAGTATTTAGTATTGACTTCAAGATAATTATTTATGTATATATAATATGATTTTAAATAAATAGCTAACAATTAGTTTTTTATCTTAAGTTCTACACACATATCTCAAAATTATTTTAAGCTATACTTTATCAAACTGTTGTCATGTTGCCATGTTAATCGGTAAGCGTGCTAGGTTTAAAGCTGAAAAGTTTTTAAAGATAGGCTTCTTAAATGACCTTCTAAAATGATTTAACAAAAACAAAAATAATTTTATTTTTAATAATAACACGTAATTTATATTGTATTAATACAAAATTTGTTAAATTAATATATGATGCAAATTAAAAGGGTTTTGGTCAATACAGACTTAGAACAACCATACTAATTTAAATACTTTTATTTTCGTAGCACTATATTACTATCTTTAAAGACAAAAATTACACTCTTTTATAAGGTCTATTATTATAAAAAACTGGCAATTGTCAAAAGTCAAAATGTGAAGAATATTAAATCATAAGCATCTTCCTGCATCATACTCAAATCATCATTAAGAAACTGCTTTTCAGTTTATTAAAGTGCATTAAATCTTTGGCTATACGATAAAATTTATGACGCAATATTTTATAATCAATTAAGCATCTAAACTTTTTTCAATCAAACCTATTTGATACTACCTGGCATTGATCGACCATGATACGCGAAATCAGTTGTTTTATTCGTACAAATTTTTGAATAGCAGGCAAATGAATCGATTTCGAATAGGTAAATTCTTATGCTAAAATGCATATGTCTTGAACGGCAGTTTTGAATGGATCATCTACGGCAGTTACTCGATTTAGGTAGAAAACATTTTTTATAATTAATACGTAGGGTGTTTTAATATGACAAATGTACCAACTGATACTGATATAATAAAAATTCGTTACAGTCTGAGTAAATTGAACTTTGTATATTGGAAATATTCATTCGGAGAAAAGATGATTAATATATATTTCATAATCATTTAGTTGAAATAAAAACTATTTTAATGCAAATTTATGCTAAAATATACATATTCGTATACAAAACTTATTACTATTACAATTTAATAATAATTTTTTTTAATATCAAATATAGTATTTTAAATTTTACTTTAGATCACTTTGTGTTTTAAATTATGATGCTCATTATTTTCCTTCGTTCATATTACAATCCTATAATAAGTTTAGACTATTAGTGATATTCATTAAAATTAGACATAATAAGGATGAACAGTCAACTTTTACGTTTTAATTACTTAATTTTGAAATCCATCACATTTTTCTATAGTATTAGTCATAGAATCCGCATCACCCATTAAATATCACATTTTCGTCAAATATTCAAAAAATTTAAAAAATTGCTTTTGTGAAATTATTTGATTTTTATATGTATTTCCCATAATATTATAAAATTTTTGATAGTCGATTTAAGAATATTCGTGCATATCCCTTTTTATATATGTATATAGACATCAAATATTGTGCTTATGCAGGTTTATGTCCAAGAGAAACCTAATACATTTTAGTTTATTATTGTAATATAAATAAAGTTAATTTAAAAATAATTATGTTTGGTTTAGAAACAGATAAAATGATACTTTCTTCTGAATATTCATTTCATACACTTTAAAGTGTTTACTTTAATTAATCTCGACTATAATAATATTTTAAAATGATATGCTGGTATACTCTTTTCTTTCAGATTAATGTTTATTCGACAGACGTATAAAACCAATTGAAGTACAAATATAATTATGATTATTATATATCCGATAACACAATCAGAGTTTAATATGTCTGGCCCACGCAATTAACATGGTCTGGTGCTAGAATAATAAAATTGGTTAATTGATTGTTTAGCAAATAATCATTTCTTTTTTTATAAGAGAAAAAAATTAAATTATACATATATATATGTGCATTTATATGTTTCAATAAGTTACTTTAAATATGAATTAATTATTATGCCATTAATGTTCATCATCATAATGGTGCAACGAACCTTATTGAATTTAGGCCTCTCTGCCACTAGTATTAGTATTTAATAATAAAGTTATTTATTTATTTACATAAATTACCAATAAAACAAATAAGTATTAAAATGAAAATAAATAAAGAATTAAAAACAATTGTAATAAAAGTTCAATTCAGCTTCGCGCGCCCACCTGTCATAAACGTTACACTACAGTTAGAGTTAGACTTAAGAAACACTTGTTAACCAAAGAATTTATTTGGTAAACAGTTGGCAACACCACCAACAACAGTCATTCTTCTGTTTGGGTGTAGTTTGTATTATTATAATTGTGTTTATTGAATTAAGATTTTAAATATACTTAAGTTTAGGAAAAGAAATGTTAATAAATTTGTCTTAACATAGTTAACTTACATCAAAATAATAAATATATAATGAATATTATAGGGATACTTAGTTTTTTGTGTTTTATTTATGCAGGTAATACATAATGACGCAGCCACACCTTTCTTACAGTTTAATCATAACAACTATTACTGAATAAAATTTTTTATTTTTCTAAAGCAGCATTTGCACAAGTTAACCAATTGGAGAGACGTGGTTGTATAATACCAAAAATTTTTCAAGGATCATGGTTTTCTTGGGAAGTAGGTTTACCAACACAAACAGTAATAGACGCTACTTCAATGTCACGGCGTGGTTATTGTGTCGATATGAGCAGACAACTTGGTGATGAATACTCATTTGTCTTTAAAGACACTAAAAAGGATTGTTATCATTGCGTGAAAACGCTAATTCGTACCTTAAATATATTTGAAAAATTTGAAGGTATATATGGAACTAATAAACGTAGACAACTCTTTCTTAATCAAAATTATTTCAGGTCCTTGTACATCTATACCGCCAGGTGCAGAACCGAGTGTAGAGAATGTTTGTGTGGGTATAAAAGATGACCAACAACTAATAACACTTTTTAATGAGAATTTTTTGCCTTTAAATTGTCGTTCGTCTCTTGAGGGTGTATGGCACTTTACATATCAGGTTTGTTTATAATCAAAATCAAAATATTACATTTATGCTATTATATAGGAAAAAATTCATCAATTATTCAATCAATGGCAAGGTTTTAAATAATATTTTGTAATGTGGTGGTTATAAGCTTGTCTATCTTTCTATTTATATATAAAGAAAAAAATTTCCACATAACTTAATATCATAATTTATTACTTAAAAAAATCAAAAAAATGAATTAAAAATCTTACACTGGAGTAGTTAAAAAGATCTTTTCAATAATAAACTTAAATTAATTTCAATAATGAAATTAATAGGATACGTAAACACATAATGTAAATAATAGCATTAATTTTAGTAATAAATCACAGCATGAAATGAGAATTAAATATTTTTTAATTTTGATATCTTAACTCATAATTTATTTATTTTAATTTTTTTGATATAGAATCGTTTTCGTTTTACTGGTGTTTGCGATAAACCAGATGCTCGTATACAATCTTGTCAAACTGCTGGAACTCAGTTTTTGATTCAAAATCAAAAATTTAATATTACATATCAACATTGTGAGGGTATGGAAGGTACTTTAAGTGGACCTAAAGAGTACAGTTGCTTAGGTGATTGGTTCGTTGGAAAAAATCATTATTTTGCTGTTGCAAATACAAAAGAATCTCGTATAGATGAAAAATATCGGTGTTTCCTCAAGAATCGTGACGATGATCTATATATTGGCGTATCTATAACGCCAGAATGCAATACACTTAAAACACCAGAAAATTCTCCTGAACGTTTAAAACTTACACCTGTTAAAGCTGAATATGTTGAACCTGGGTGTACACTACCTCAAAATTTTAGTGGAGAATGGGTTAATACTGCAAATATTGATGCAGATATTATAATAAGCGAAACGCATATAAATGAAACTTACTATCCAGATAGAGCACGTTATCGACGGACTATATATGTTTGTCGAGAACGACGTGGCACTCGCATTATGATGGCACGTCTAACAGTAGATGGATGTCAAAAAGATTACGTTTGTTTTGATTTTTTGCCAAGACATCATAATATCATACGTTATCGTAGAGGATTAGCTGTGATAAAAGATGATTTTAGCACAGTTTGCTCTTGGGTTCAATTTAACAATGCTGAATCTTGGAAATATGATTTATTCCTAGCAAAAAATCCAGTACCGGTTCGTTGTCCCGTAGCAGGGAAATTTAATTTTACACAAAAAGGTGAACATCCATTCAGAACAAGGTAATAAAAAATAGTTCACATATTTTAAAATAATATACAATAATTTTTGTAATTTATTTTTAGAATTCTTGGTGGTGTTACGCTGAGTCCACGTCCTGACATACACTGTAAGCAAAATATATCAGACATGTCAGTGTGTGATACTGATCAGAAGGAAATGGCCATAGATGAAAATTATTGTTTGTCAGTTGATCATTTAGGTGTTCCTGTAGATATATACAGTAAGTTATTATCTTTATATTTTTATTTAAAAATTCTAAATGAATTTGTCAAAAGGTGATCCTGATTATCGAATGAAATGTATTGGCTTTTGGAAAGAAAATCTCAAATCATACCTCATTACATACGATGACTTGGATCCACTTTCCAAGTATCGTTGCTGGGTTTATCAACGAGCTGATTTAAATCGAGTGCTTATGTCACAAGGTTTGTTATTGTTAATATGACAATGTTTTTTTGTTTTAATTTTTTAAAATTATGAAATTTTATATTTTCATAGCTGTGGGTGCATTTTGTAAATTAAATCAAGATGTTCAATCTTGGAATCATAGCGAAGGCGCTGCTGTCGCAATTGATGCTATCGAATATGAACGTGAACGTGATGATTGCCCTATGTATTTTGATGATGGCGAAAATCCTTGGAAACACTCTGATGCTTCTAACATAATATTTGATTGGGATTTCTATAAAGCTGGTGCTAGTCGAATAGTTCATTCTATTAATTATCTCGTCTTTTATACTATTGGATTAGTATATATAATTTTAAAAGTTTGGTGAATTTATAATCACAATCATCTCAAATATTATTAACATAATATCGAATAAGTTGTATATATGTTAACATATTGGTTGTGTTACCAATATGTTAACATGGTTCCATTTCGAATCTAAGAATACTAAATTAGGTAGTTTAAATTCCGTCCGATTTTATATGTAATAAGTTACTAAATTACATAAAATTCACAAAATAGATGTGGCGAATCTCTCTGAATCTATTAACAATAAAAAAATATTTAACTTGAAGTCATGAATAAGTCTAATGAATGCAATCAATATGCACTTAAATTTACCCAAATCTTATGACACAAATTATATATAATTGAGAATGTTTTCAATGTTGTTTGAAATTGTAACAGTTCTAATCAATTTGTATCATAAAACACAAATGGGTATGACAGACTATGAATCAAATATGCTTCTTTAAAATATGATGCCGTCCAATATATAAATATATATATATACCATACATCTAACATAAAATACATATTTGTGTATTTAAATCTATTGAATTTGAATTTGAAATTTATTGAGTTGTATAAAATAGTGTTCATATTTCTGTTTGTATTAATTAGAAGTTATAATTTTTAAAAAAAATCGAATTAATATTATTAGTATTGAATTATGTGCCTTCAAATGTATACATTTACATTCCGTCCATTTTTGAACTTAATTTTTAATTCTTTATAAATAAAAATTTGTAAATTCAAATGATTATATAAAAAAATTATTAAATAAATTATATACAATTTAAAAATAAAAATTATTTTAATATTTATTTTATTTAAGAACATAAAAAATATTTGGAAAAATATTTCTTTGCAGCTAAGAAATAAATCACAAATGTTCAGAAAGCAATCTCTTGATAAATTATAAATGATTTAAAGCATTTTGCAGTATTTTAAAGAGATCAACAACTGATACACTGTTTAAGTGCTTCATTCTAAATCATTATTTGTTTTACCAGTTTTTGATTCTGATATGTTAACCATATAACCAGAAATATCTAATATCTGGCATCCATTTTATAAAACGGACTCAATATAAATGATTTTTGATGATATGTTATTCACATAATTCATTAAAATTCTGACAGGAGTTTTGAATAATACTTGGATACGACCGACTAAAAGTCTTTTTACTATATAAGTACTTTTGTTTTCCAATCAAAATTTATTTATTTAAAGTAATTACTTTTAAAAATAACGAATACACTTATTTTTAATAGAAGTAAGAACCAAAATATTATTAATTAATTATTTTTTTAGGCTAATTACACATCTGTTTTGAGTATTGCAAATACTCAAGATCAGCGGTCTAAGAAAATCTTTCTTAGGTTTAAAATTGGTAAAAATTATTCAAATCTCATCTGCTGTCAATATATTTCCTTTTGTCAGGCAATCACCACATTTGGTAAGGATGTGCGTTAATGTGTGATAGAAAGGATGTGCGCTAATCTGAAGCACATTAAAAGCGTTCTGCACCTAGCGAGAACGGTACACAAGGTATTTTTAACAATTAGAGTCACAAAGCGCTACAAAACAGCTGATTAGCAAGCATTAATTTAATTATATCTAAAACACTTAGCTAAATGAAAATAAAATAAGATAAATATATAAGATAAGATGTCTCTTTAAGCAAAATGTCCCAATTGGATTATATACATTATTCCGGAACGGAGTAGAACAGAAATTTTATATGTATACAAATATTCGAAATTCAAATACTGTTCCAACTGCCCATCGCTTTTTTATTTTATTTCTTATGTGTTTTGTTTACAACAATTAATAGTTTGTGTTTATTGTTAATATTATTCTCACTATAGAATTGAGTAAAGATATTTTCAGTAGTATTTTGATTCTCTAAGCGTTCTGTTCGGCACTACTGCACATTTTATGTGTTGTTTACATGTTCTAACTTTGTTTACTGAATTAAAAATTTTAAAACAACTCTTAGATTATATAAAAGATATGGTATATAATGAAAATCCAAAAAATATTTAGTGTTTTATGCTGTTGTATTAGCATAGGTAAAAGCATATATCAATCAGACACATCTGATCTTATTGCAACATAATTAGGAATAAATACATCTTTTTATTAATAGCATTTGCACAGCTTAACCAATTAGAGGGTCCGAGATGTATGGTACCCAAGAAATTACATGGAACATGGTTTTCTTTAGAACAAGATGTACCAACAACAACTGTTTTAAATGAAACTTCAATGTCACGGCGTGGTGACTGTATCGATATGAGCAAAGATAATGGAGAGGAATATTTATTTATTTTCAAAGAAAATAATATAAATTGTTATCATTGCGTTAAAATGATAATTCGTACAGTTAATGTTATTGAAATGGTCCAAGGTATAAAGTATATACTTTATAATATGTATATTTAACTAACACGACTATTCTTATGTATAATGCTATTACAGATCCTTGTGTATCCTTATCACCCAATACACAACCAACTATAGAAAAAATATGTGTAGGTATAAAAGATAACCAACAACTAATAATACTTTTTAAAGAAGATTTTCTGCCTATAAGTTGTCCATCATTTTTGGAAGGCGAATGGCGTTTTACATATCAGGTATTTACAGTTTTTATTAATACTATTATTAGACCTTTCAAATACATAATTTGAGAAGCGTATATTTAGTTCGTACAAATATTTGTAATATGGTTAAGTAGTTTACGGAATGATATATACATATGTTTCTGAAAAGCATTATAAGATATATCGAGTATCAGTCTAGTCATATACAAATTAGTCTTTAAAGTTTTTGGAATGCGTAGGTCAGAGGGAAGTTTGGCCTTTTCAAAAAAGTTCCCTAAAATGGTTCTATATATTTTTAAATGTGTGTATGAATATTATTAAATAAATTTTTGTATTTAAAAAACAAATGGGTTTACCTTCAATAATTGATTTATAATATTTGATAAATTTACTTTTCTTTGTAATGAATATTAAAACTTCTATAAAACTACTTTTTTTTCTATAAAATTTTTAAAAAATTATTTTAAAAAATAAATTTAAAATTATTTCCGTAAGTATTTACGGAATACAACTGTTAAAATATACATCTTTGAACTTATCTTTAGCTATCAATTCTATAAGATAATTAGTCTTAATTATATACAGTATATGTTATATGTATATATTATTCAATAATTAAATAGAATAATATTTATTCTATTGTGTTATAAAAATTTTATTTGTTATGCGCAAAATTATAAAACAAGGTTGGTCCGAGGGCTATAGCAACAACCAAAGTGCTAATAATAAAAAAATGGATTTTACTGAAATGCGGTTTTGAAACAGGTCTTGGCTATTTTTGTTAATAACAAATGTTTCGAAGAATTTTACCATTGAACCCAACACTGTAAATTGTGTAAGCATACAAACTTTTTATTCAATTAAATTCAGTTGCATATTTCCCTATTTTAACTATAATGCATTTATAAATTTTTTAATAAAAACAAAATAAATATTATATATATAAAATTATTGCACAAATTAATAAAACTTTACAATGGAATGTTGTAAATCCTTTATAAATACAGTTTTTGAGTTTTATACAATATTTATATTTTTATTTTCAACACACCTTCATCTTATAACATTAAGAAAGGAAGACTAAATAAGAGTATATCCTCGTTTTAAACAATTACTTGCCACGCATAAATTCTTATGTGCCTAACGTGTGCTATAACTGCATCTCTATTCAACTATTTAGCATTCACTTAAATAATAGTCCCCACAACACAAATCAACGTCAGCCCAATAGATTTCAAGCTCCATCTCCTGGAGCTATAAAGATTTTTTAACTTAAACCGAAGCTAATTATCAATTACTTATATATATAATTTAACTAATGGAATGATACACCGTTAATATGCCAAACACCTAGTGGAAGGAAACCAACCTGACTAGGAATAAGGTTGGAATAACAGCTATGCAGGTCAGTCAACAAAAGGGCCCCTAAGATTTCGAATCTTCTCTAATTCAATTATAGGCACTGAAGTAAATAATCTTCTTCTCATTTGCAGAGTCACTACCCTGATAAAAGTCATTAAAGGGACAGACCAAGTTTTAATACATACCTTCCAGATACTCAATACCGTTAGTTGAAGCATCTGTTTGGTACAAATTATATTCAATTTGGACCTGGTGAGTCTTGTGAACTGGCAAGAATCATTATCTACCCCAGCTTTCCTTGCCAATTATCAGGTTTTTATGTTCAGTTATCAGTATAGTCGTTGCAAGAGGAATACCACTAACTGGGTTGTAAATATCGGATAGCACTGTTCCTGTTTCATAACACTGTTTCTCGGATTACAGTTATCCGTATAATTTGAACACTCTCTCTCATGACAAAAGCAGACAACTCCTTGAGAGAGGTAATTACAAATCAGAAATGCAGCAGCTGTAACGTCTAGCATAAATTTAATTGCAGCTTAGCTGTCCAAGAACATTGTTTATATTAGAAAATATATCAAATAGATTATTATATATTTGTGAATGTGTATTCATGATATTAATATACTATATTTTTTAATCCATTGAAAATTTTATTCATTTTAACACACAGTTTAACACACGCATAAGTAGCTTTCACCAGTATCATAAATGATATTTCAACTTGTGAATCTCGTGTGAAATTCGATTTGTATGTTATATCGCCGTCGTAACTTTAGCATTAAGCAGAATATCATCAATCATAATACGAGTATATATGTTTTGTATTTTTCCAAATACTGGAAATTTAGATAACTTTCAAATTTTATAGGAGGTTATCTGTAAAGAACTATAACATATAAATTTAAATTCAAATGTATTTTTAAAGTATATAAATTATCGTTGAATATATGTTAGATATTAAGTATATTTTAGCAACTTTATATGAATGATAATTATAATGAATTTATTTAAAATAACGATACGATCTACTTTAACTTAAATTGCTAAGTTTGCCATATTTTATTTTAGAACAATTTACATTCCACTACTGATGTCTGCAATAGACCGGATGCACGCATAAAGTCCTGTCAAATTGCTGGATCTCCATTTTTGATTAAAAAGTTTAGTATATCATATAAACAATGTGAGGATATGGATTATAGTTTTTATGGAAATGTACAGTTTAGTTGCTTAGGTGATTGGTTTGTTGGAAATAGTCACTATTTCGTTGTTGCTAACACAAGGGAATCTCGTAAACACGAAAAGTATCGCTGTTTTCTTAAGGATCGTGATGATGACTTAAATATTGGTGTATCAATAACAGCAGAATGTAACAAACTTAAAACACCAGAACATTCTCCAGAACACTTGAAGCTTACTCCCATAAAAACTGAATACATTAAACCGGGTTGTAATCTTCCACAATATTTCAGCGGAAAATGGATTAATGCAGCAAATATCAATACAGATATAATTATAAGTGAAACGCATATTAATCAAACTTACTTCTTAAATAGAGGACGTTCGAATCATGTTACTTATGTTTGCAGAGAACGTCACGGTAACCGCGTTATGATGTCTCATTTATCAGTTGATGGTTGTGAGGAAAATTTTGTCTGTTTTGAATTTATGCCAAGCCATCACAATATCATAAGATACCGCACTGGATTGTATGGAATAAAGAATGATTTCAATACTTTATGTTCTTCTGAGCAGTTCAATGAGTCCAAAGAAGTATTATTATTACCTAAAAATCCAGTACCAATTCGTTGTCCTGTTGCAGGAAAATTTAATTTTACTCAAAAAGGCGAAAATCCTTTTCAAAAGAGGTAACACAAAAAAGTAATATTTAAACATTGAAAGCATTCTATAATGTTGTCAATATAAATTTAGAATTCTAGACGGTATAACGTTAAGCCCACGCCCTGATCTACAATGTAAACAAAATATTTCCCTTTTATCAGTGTGTGATGTTGACCAGAAAGAAATAACTATAGATGTCAATTATTGTTTGGCATTTAATCATTTAGGTGTTCCTGAAAAAATATACAGTAAGTTTTTTATCTTAATCATTTTATATAAAAGTTATTGATAGATTCGTTAAAAGGTGAACCTGACTACCGAATGAAGTGTATTGGCTTCTGGAAAGAGAATTTGAAATCATACTTAATTACATACAATGACTTGGACCCACGTTCAAAGTATCGATGTTGGGTGTATCAACGGACTGATTTGAATCGTGTGCTTATGTCACAATGTACGTTACCTAATAATTATTATTATTTGTTTATTTGCAAATATTGATTTTTATTTCTTGATAGCTGTGAATGCATATTGTAATACAGACCAAAATGTTCAATCTTGGTATTATTATGAAGGCGCTGATGTCGCAATCGATGCTATTCCATATGAAGGTGAACATGGCAACTGTCCCATGTCTTTTGATGACGGTGAAAAAATTGATACTTTGGATTGGAATTTATATCAAGATGGCACGCGTAAAGATGGCAAAAATATAACAAATTATTCAAACTAACATAACTCCAATGGGTGTAACTAAAGCTATCGCAAGTGATACTTATTGCTTTGTAAACCTGTTAAAAATTTGTTAAACACCATCGTTATCATATTTTAACACTCGTAAAGAACCAAAAAATGGTCTTTCATATTAAGAAAATAACAGATTATTGAACCGTATAGTTATTGCATTAAACATAGTTAATTATCAATAACCGAAAATAGTTCCGAAACTAGCATAATAAAAATAGCAATAAGGTTTATTTGATATATTTTATATTTAAAATAAATTGATTTCCTAGAAGTTAACATTATTCCTACAAAACTAGAATATGTTTTGCATCTTATCAATCAAATGCCAGTAAGTATACCCTGTGCTTAAGCATTGTGTTAATAACTAACAAGCTGCAGAACACATAATTTCGATAAGTTCAATATCTACAATAGCTGCATTAACTTTCAAGTCTATAATTTGATTTCTTACGCCACATTTAGGCATTTTGAGTACAATTGATGTGAAAGTTCTCTGAACTGAGAATAAAAAAAAAGGACAAGAGATTATTTTTAATTTTAAAACCAAATAAGCCGATAACATGCGCGCCGTGAAAACCGTAATTGTTTTCGTGCTATGGGATTAGCACGAAAACATATATATATGTTATATATATATATTTTGCAGTAATTTTATTTAAAAAAGTGCCTTTATTCACTCATTTAAATTTAGGGGAATACTGACTCGAAATAAAGTAACCACATGTAAAATTGTTCTGAAAAAGTCGAAAATATAGCGGCGCAAACTACATAAAAATACTTTATTTCAATTGTTATAATATCGCTAATTGTAGGTCATTAATTGTAAAGCATTAGCAAAGTGTAAACCTTACAACGTCAAATTTCTGTTAAAATATCAAGCAATCTGGCATCATTTGAAATTTATTTACTCGAATTTTTATATACAAAGTGACATTTGGGTATTTTATTTTCGTAGAGTGTGTTTGTCAAAACGGCAAACAGACCAAATTTTCCGAACGAAAGTTATTAAAATAAGTGATATTAGTGCAAGAAAACAAATACACAAAATGGCCCTATCTTTACTTCTCCGTAACACTATGAAGCTCAATGGTAAGTTCAAATAAATGCCACCTTAAAGTCTTAATACCACCCCATTATATAACAATACATGTATACAATTAAGCAATATTAAATTATTTTTTTATTTTACACATTTTTTAACATTGACGATCATTTTTAGGTGTTGGTCTTTTAAAGTCTGCTCGCATTGTTCCACTGAAATCGTTTGCAACTCTTGTTGCCAAACCAAAACCAGTAGTCAGTCTTGTAAAAAATGTTATGGTTAGTATAATTCTTATGATTTACGTTATTTTTATGTAATGTATATAATATTTTCTTTCTATAGCCGGTGGCACGTACATTTACACTAACCGCTCCTAAAATGGTTGGTTTCAGCAACCACACTATGTTGTGGAAAGCAGAGCGCATTGTGTCCGCTGCTCTTTTGGGTATAATGCCAATCGCTATAATGTTTCCATCACAAACTCTTGATGCACTTATGGCTATTTCTATTATTATTCATACCCATTGGTAAGTTCAAAATGAAAAAAATTGATAATTCTTTAAATAAAAATAATTTTAGGGGTGTTGAAGCCATAATCACAGATTATATGCGTCCAAACGTGGTTGGCCCTATGGTACCGAAAGTTTCTCACATGGCATTAATTCTGGTTTCAATTGCATCATTGGGTGGTTTATTTTACTTAATATTCAATGACATTGGTATCTCAAAGACAATAAGGCAATTCTGGGAAATCAGTGGCTACGATGGTGAAGTAGATTAAACAAGAGATATTTATTTTTTTTTTCGAAATGACAAATGTATAACTAAATTATTTTATTTTTTGTTAAATAATTGAAACTTTGAACATAATGAAACAATAATAAAAGTAAGTGAAAATGGGCTTTTATTACAAATAACAAAAAGGTATTTAGCATATAATTAACATAACAAATATTACCTTAAATATTTCTTATGGTAAATATTTTTGTACAACAAAAGCTAGCTCGTACTCGGTTTGACTTCCGCAATATTTTCTAATTGTTCTACATTAGATTTGTAAAATAATCTTAAAGCTTCCCATTGTTTTGTGTGAAGTAAGATATGTGGACGACAATTTCTCATGTGTTCAACTGCTTTTTCCGGTGTCCAACCATTTTTCTGAAAAATAAAATTAAGTTGTTCAATATGTATAGCACATTAATATAAATGTAAATTCCTTAACAGTTTATATCATACAAATAATTTTTTTTTACTTAAAGTAGTAGACTGAAAACTCAACTTTAGCATTGTCTTGCTAACGAGGAATTACTGCTATTATAAAATTTAATGAATATTAATTAAATTGATTTGTAACGCCTATTTTGGCGAAAGACAACTAAATTGTTAATATAAACTATTGTTTTCAATAGCAAGGTTTTTTTTATCGAACAGTGAATTGTAATTAAAATGTATTAGTCTTCAAAATAAAAAAGTTTCGTAAAGAATTTATAATTTTGTTATATATATATGAGTTATTAATTAATATTAATTAAATTGATTTGTAACGCCTATTTTGACGAAAGACAACTAAATTGTTAATATAAACTATTGTTTTCAATAGCAAGGTTTTTTTATCGAACAGTGAATTGCAATTAAAATGTATTAGTCTTCAAAATAAAAAAGTTTCGTAAAGAATTTATAATTTTGTTATATATATATGTGTTATAATATATTTTATTTTCTATAACGAAAATTGAAGAACCGTACTTCATTTGAAATTATAGTTTTATTTTCTAGTACCCAACAGCCGGTACTGCGTCCAGAAGAGTCCAATTTGTACCAATTTCACTATTGATTACACAAAGCCCCTTAAAGCTTTGTGAACAAAGTCCAGAACTGAATCTAAAAAAGAGTTCTTAATCTGTTCTGGTGACAGAAATTCCGTAGGAATCTGTTCTGGTGACAGAAATTCCGTATGAAACAAGTTTCTTCTGTGTGTTGTTAAAGCTGGCGTAAATTAATACATGGTTTTTAATACATAAGAACTATGAAAGTACATTTAGTATTAAAATCGCTACATACATAAAAAACCCCTACAGCGAAATTGTTTTTTTCAAAAAGTATTTAGATAATGTTTTAACAAAAATTTAATGATTATTAAAATTATCAAGAAATATTTCATTTTTGTGGTTTATGTTTTAAATGACTCACTACTTACCATCATCAAATAACACCCAACTAACGTTGCACTTCGCGTTCTGCCAGCTTTACAGTGTATATAAACTGTTCCAATATTTTCGGGACTATTTAAATGTAAGACACTGATTCTTTTATTCAGAGGCAGAAACTTGTTGATAAATTCCACGCCTTTATACAATTTCTCTTGACAAGGAGATTCAAAAATATCTGTTGTGGCTAATTGTAAGAATTCTACACCCAGTAATTTCCATTTAGGCGCATCGTTGGAAAAAGCAGTTAATTCGTAATCCTCATTCATGGATACAACTGCTTTCATATTTTCTTTCGATATTAACTAAAATAAAAATTACAAATTAAATGTTACAAAATTTTACTTTATAGCTGCACATATGTTAAAAGCTATACCTACATCATTTGCCTGTGAACGAAATGGTAGCGCACCCAATATAACATTCTCATCAATTCTATCGTACCAATTTCTTGCAGTTACCTTCTCCATAACCACATTATATAAAAGTGTGGGATAAAAGGATATACGCGCTAACATTGAAGCCTTTATATAATTATAAAAAGTATAAAATAATAAAGAGTTTTGTTAAAGACGATTCAACGAACTGTTAATGAATGAAACTTTCACCACACAACACAAAGCAAACAAAGTCAACAAAGCACGCTTAGAACACCGCTGCTTAGCTAACAAGTGCTGTGTTTAAGCGCGTTGTACACTTCAAACTCTGCTTTTTGTTAATGGAAATCGCTTTGTAACTTTTTACTTACACTCATTTTAATGCCGTAAATAAACACAAGTAGGAGAGAGAGTCTAAAAATGATGACGTGAACAATATTGCTCAGATTATCATCATACAAGAAATTTCAATAACAATAGTTTCATTTAAATTTATATAATTGTTAAAGTCGAGCAACGTGAAGCAAACTGCTGATATTGATAAAAACAGCCTGAACGATCAATCTCTAGTGTTACCTATTGTTATAAAAAAATTTAAATGCATGTTATATTCATAATTACAGTATCTGTAATGCTAATGTGTATCTTTAGTAAATTATGTCGTTAGGATGAATTACTTTTTTCTTTAATTAAATCATGATATTAATAACACAGTACTGCCAGCGAACAATACAAATACTCTGGGAAAACCAAGGAAACAATTAGAAATTAATTCGCCGTTCCCAAAAAAAAATTAGAGTAATTTCAAAGTATTAAAAAATTTCATTAATTAAAAATATTTAACATTAAATGCACCTTTTTTTTAAATCGAATCTTTAATAATTCTACTTTTGAAATACATTCATTTATATTATGTTAAGATATATACTTCATTTAGACGAATACTAAAGTACACTATAAGTTTTTCTGAAAAATATTTTTATTTCAGTTTTTAGAAAAAGCTTATGGAAATAAAATATTTTTATTTATTTTAAAGCTAGTCGTGTGCTAGAATAAAATGCTTTTATATACCATTTATAATATTAATTCCACATGTACTTGTTTACACAAGTACAATACAAATTTATCAAGTAAAGTTTTCCAAAACTCAAACTAAGATCATAACTGAAGGAAGAATATTGGTGGAAGGAATATCTGAAAAAACATGACAGTTCTTGTTCTCTACTCATTATTTTATTATAAACTTATAGCAGGGAATACATATACGATTATTCTTTGATTTTTAAAATGTAACTTATATCACGGTTACATTTAAAAATATAGGTACTACACACTTTTTGTGAGAATTTTGTATGAGAAATGACATAAATAGCTTATACTATGTTCAACACACTTTAATTTCGCAAAAATCTTAATTTCGTTTCAGCGGAATTAAATTGTTTTTTCCATACAGTTTTAAGGTTAGAACCAAATTAAGGAAAATAGTCTTAATTTCGTTGAAACGAAGCCTGAAATTAAAAAAAATTTCAAATATTAATATATCATATTAACGAAATAAACGAAATTTGATTGTCTTAACATAGTATTACTGCACTTATTATTACATGTCCTTAATAATAAAAATAAGTGCTAACTACGTGATGTAAATTCGCCTTTCATCATACCAACGGAGCATAAAATTCAAAACAATGTGGTTGTAAACATAGTAACGAAATTAATACATGGTGTTATTATATTCCTTTATATTAATGCCGAATGATTTCAATTTCAGTTTCTGCTTGAAAATTATATTTAATCAACACATGATAAATAATTTTGAAAAAACTAAATAAAGCAAAATCATTGTTCAAACATGAAATAAATTTAATGTTTGTAGCAGTATAGTTGGGAACAGAAATAAATATAAACTTGTGGCATCACTAACTCGCAAATTGTATTCCCATGTCGTTGTCAAATCTTACTGTCAAAATAGCAGCAAACAAAATCTTACAAGTCATCGGAATTGTGTTTTAAGAATTTTTGCATTTAATATTGTAAAATAAAATAATTTCATTCGAATTACTCTAAACTATAAAATAATGGCAACAACTCTTGAAGACAAATCAATTTGGGATGATGGAGAAGAAGCACTTGGTGAAGAAGTTTTGCGTATGTCCACCGATGAGATTGTCAGCAGGACGCGGCTTATGGACAATGAAATAAAAATTATGAAGAGTGAGGTTATGCGTATATCTCATGATATTCAAGCTCAAAATGAGAAAATCAAGGACAATTCTGAAAAAATTAAGGTAACATTTACATGTGAAGAATATTAGCCAAGATTAGAATTTTCTGTTTCCCTTCAGGTTAATAAAACCCTCCCCTATTTGGTGTCTAATGTCATTGAGTTGCTAGATGTAGATCCACAGGAAGAGGAAGATGATGGGGCTGTGCTTGTATTGGATAATCAACGAAAAGGCAAGTGCGCCGTCATAAAAACATCAACACGTCAAGCTTACTTTTTGCCTGTAATTGGTCTCGTTGACGCTGAAAAGTTAAAACCAGGTGATCTAGTAGGTGTTAATAAAGATTCTTATCTAATATTGGAGACACTACCTGCTGAATATGATGCTCGCGTTAAGGCTATGGAGGTTGATGAGCGGCCTACTGAGCAATATTCTGATATAGGTGGTCTAGATAAACAAATTCAGGAATTAATAGAAGCAGTTGTTCTGCCCATGACACATAAGGATAAATTTAAAAACTTAGGCATACAACCACCAAAAGGTAAATTTTTAAAGTTTTAGCATTAATTTTTTTTTTATGTATATACATTTAAATACAGGCGTACTTCTTTACGGTCCACCTGGTACTGGCAAAACTTTACTTGCCCGTGCTTGCGCTGCGCAAACAAAATCAACTTTTCTTAAATTGGCTGGTCCACAATTAGTACAAATGTTCATTGGCGACGGTGCAAAATTAGTACGAGATGCTTTTGCGTTAGCAAAAGAAAAAGCTCCAGCTATTATCTTTATTGATGAATTGGACGCTATTGGTACTAAGCGTTTCGATTCGGAAAAGGCTGGTGATCGTGAGGTCCAACGAACTATGTTAGAATTGTTAAATCAATTGGATGGTTTTAGTTCAACAGCTGATATCAAAGTAATAGCTGCTACAAATCGCGTAGATATATTAGATCCTGCACTTTTGCGTTCAGGCCGTTTGGATAGAAAAATCGAGTTCCCGCATCCAAATGAAGAGGCGCGTGCACGTATTATGCAGATTCATTCACGAAAAATGAATGTAAGTAATGATGTTAACTTCGAGGAACTATCTCGTTCAACTGATGACTTTAATGGTGCACAATGTAAAGCAGTGTGTGTGGAAGCTGGTATGATTGCCTTGCGACGTTCAGCTACGTGTGTCACACATGAAGACTTTATGGACGCAATTATGGAGGTACAGGCTAAGAAAAAGGCAAATTTGAACTATTATGCTTAAGAAAAGTACGAAATATTTCAATGTTTCAACCGTCATTTTGTTTTCTTTAAAAAACTATAATTTAAATCAATCGCATAATAAGTATATTTCTATTAATTCATATTTAAAATTAAATACAATATATACAATATAAAGTAACTGGTCTGCTATTAATTAATTCAAATTTACTAAAAGAAAAATGTCTGCTATTATAATTATATAATATATAATTATTATTATAGTATTATATATATAATATATAATACATAATTATATAATATGTAATTTTTTGACAATTCGGCTAAAAGAGAGAGCTACATATTTTGATAGCGTGGTAGGCTGCACCATATCGAGCACAACAAAATGAAGTATCATTCTGCAGCAAATGATAACGCATATTTGCAACATAAGACTTCTGTTCATTTGAAAGACCTAAACAAATAAATTAGAACCTACATTTTTTGAGAATTAATCTAGTCAGTGTATACTAGGATTTGAAAATAGTTTCTGAACAAGTATCCATTTCCTTTTGACCAGGGCTGTTTAGACCAGATAAGATCGCGGGCTAATACAAATTACTGTATGGGTTGGAGGGCCGCAGAAATAAATACATACGTTCATAGTTTTTTTGGAGAGTAATAAAAATATATCGCAAATGGTAAATAAAATTAATATATAAGGTACACATATACATTGTGTACTATTATACATATATATATGTATATATACAATATATACATATATGTATATTATAATAAATACATACGTTCATAGTTTTTTTGGAGAGTAATTAAAATATATCGTAAATGGTAAATAAAATTAATATAAAATATACACATACATTATGTACTACATTATTTTACATATATATATATTTACAATATATTATATACATATAATGTATGTATACATGTATTCGTATGTATAATAAAATAATGCAATTTTACTGAAATATCACAAAAAAATGTCCCTAATTATGGTAGACTAGAAATGTCGCGGGCCACATGAGTCACGTGATTCGTGCTTTGGACAGCCCTACTCTACACGGTTTAATCTTTATCCTCCAATACTAAGGCTGTATTGTATTCAAGGCATCTTATTTCGAAGCAACTCATTTAAGCACATCATTTTGTTGTCAAAGTAAATTGTAATAATTTTCTTAAAAAAACTTGCTTCAATATGCGATTGAAATTCTTTTTATTAGTTGTAATTATAAATTGTAGCACCTTTATAAGTTTGAATATATTGATTGAACACCTGCATCGATACTTGTATTTATCTAATAAATATAAACTTTTGTTAAATACAAGTTTTAAAGATATTAGATAGCGAGCAAAGGGCATAGAAAATTGCAATGATTTAATCTTCTGTAGTTCATATTTTCGAACAAGACAAGAAGGAGTGAATATTGATAGTGAAAAACTAAATATGCAATAAATGTGGTCTATGCATTTCGTTTTTATGTTATTTATGAACTTAAAAAATAAGGTTTTTGTTTTTCAATCTAAACTACCACGTTTGCCATTGCAATTACACAATTGTTGAATTTATTTATCAAATTAAGTTAGTAATTGTTAATAAACTTGCTTTAAAACAATTATTGCTAAGTGTAAAGATTTTCTTTTGTCGTGCAATAAGACAAACAATATCAATCATTTTGCATCAGCTCGCTAATTAAATATGACCTTAAAAATATATAAATATTATATGGTAGTTGCTAACTTAATATATTACAATACTATAAATTGCAATTATTTTATATATAATTTAGTTTTTATTGTTTTAAATCAAATAATTTAATCATATCCATAAAAAATTTAAAATGTTTCAACTCTTAATAAATGTAAGCAAAAATAAAAAGAAACAATGGAAACTACGTTTTATTATTACTAATAAAATGAACTGCTAGTCACAGATGAATCTATCTGATTGAGTAAATTATCACAATGTATATAAAAATGAAATTTTTGACATATTTTCGTTTTTTTACATTTATAAAAGCAAATACAAAAGTTTTGTAAACATTTTTATGTATGATAGAAAATCAAAATTTAAATTATCCGACTGGCGTTCAACTAATGATACTGAATTTTGATTTTCACTTTCAAAAATATATACACACACACTGACTAATTTATATTAATAATAAGTTATCAATCTTCTAAGATTATTCAGTTGGGTCAGCAGTTGATATGTTTGCTGCTGTCGATATTGACGTTGTTTTCCCTGTTGCTTTTAATTTTTTTTTCACTGAGTTATCATTTGATACAGATTTAGAAGAACAAGGTTCCTCTTCTGATTTGTTATCTAAGCTGCTTTTATCAGATTCAGTTGTGATATTAGGGCGTACGTGTGGTGACTGTGCACCAGAGTCTACAGCAGTATTTACTTGAGTTGATTGTTGTTGTAATTGTTCATTGTGCTGCTGCTGCGGTTGCTGTTGTTGTTGTTCTTGTTGCTGTTGTTGTTGTTGCGGTTGCTGCTGTTGATATGGACGTCTAGTGTACATTATAAAACCCAACAACAGAGTTAAAATTGTAATCATATATAGATCCCAATTCGCTGCTATGTTTTCATCCAAGTAAAATATAAATCTATAAGGACTCTAGAAATAAAAAAATATAATACCCCAGTGTACATTAAGTATATTCTATTGCACATACCTCTTTTATTGCCTCAATTTTAGCTAGAACTTGCAGTTTTAATAGTGCAATAGCTACTGGAACTTTTGCATCTGCATTTGTTTCAGCTGCCAAATCATAAAGCCGTTTAGCTAAATGCCAGTCTTTTTTCATACCCAATCCTTGTTCATGCATGTAGCCAAGATTAAACATGGCTTGAGCGTTGTAAAATTGTTCTGAAGCTTTTCTGTTGAATAGATTTATTTTATTATATGTAATAAACATTAGTGAGTACTAGCAGTAGCATAGTTTTACACATTAGCAATTTCTAAAACTTCAATAGTACTAACTTAATAATTGGTAATATTATAATATAGAACCTGACATGATCTAGGTTAGGAAAAAGGGTATACCGGTAAGCTTAGAGTACGATAAATAAGATAATAGAATGGTAAGAATTAATGAAGTGCATTGAAAGGTTAATTTAATCGGTGTCCATACCATCTTTGTAACATAGATCCACCGATTAATCAAGTTTAAATAAGAGTATACAGAGCAACATTATGTGGAGTAAAGCTACAGCTTTGATACACTATAATAGATTATTGATGAATTTATAACTATCTAGTATCTGTAACTGTTTAGTATGTAATGTATATGGAATCTCAAAGAGTATACTATATTCAAGAACTGTATTCGACTTGATTAATCTTCTTTTTGCTTCTAAAGTTGTCGAGAGATACAAAGACAGATATTGAAGAATACTATAGGAAAGGGTTGTTGCATTAAGCTTCGTCTATGATAATTTACCTGTATAAAACTGCAGCAGTTTCAAAATCCACTTCAGTACCCAAGCCATAATAATAGTAATCGCCTAGTTTAACTTGTGCATTGGAATATCCCTGAGCAGCAGCACGTTTCCAATAATAGAATGCGCGAATCAATTCCTCGTGACGATTATGGAAAATCGTAACATCGCTGCGGTCAAGCAAATAGCCAGCATTGCTTTGTGCAACCTCGTAACCAATTTCTGAAAGTAATCCATACTGCATATAGGCTTCGTTAATTCTATAATTCTTATAATTGTTATAAGCATCCATCAACATTGAACTCCAACGTCCACGTTCAGCAACATTTTTAAAGAACTGTAATTAAATAAATTTGCTTAATGTAAATTATGTATTAAATTTACTTAATTTTTATACCTCAACTGCAGCTGGACACGATCGTAGCATGCCCAAGCCATAAGCATGCATAATACCCAAATTAAAATAAGCTAACACATGTCCAGATTGTGATGCCAAATTAAAGTATTTTAGAGCTAGCTTATAATCAGTTTTTACTCCATTACCGGCTACAATAAATATAGATATATGATAATTTGATCAAAACAGCAGAAAATTGCTTATAGTAAAACTTACTAAAATACATATTTCCTAACTGTAGTTGACCGTCTACCCAGCCCTGATCTGCCGCTTGAGTAAAATAATTTAATGCTTTCATGGGATTCTTTTCTACCCCTAAACCCTTCAAATACATTAAACCTAGTCCACTTTGACCAACAGGATCTCCCAGCTCTGCAGCTTCTTTAAAGTACTGTAATTATTATTCTTTTTTAATTTTCTAGATTATAAAAAATAGTCATTTTTATTTACCTTCAAAGCAGTTTCATTATCGGCCTTTATGTACTCATTACCTTCTAAATACAATTTACCTAAAAATGCATAGCCGATTGCGTTACCAGCTTTAGCCGCCTGTGTAAAATACTCCAAAGCTTTTTGATGATCTTGTTGTATGGCTTTACCACCTTGATAATATAGTTGACCTAAACCGACTTGGGACTGCACATCACCTTTTTCAGCAAGTAGTTGGTAATAATCAACAATATCATTTTCATGACTACCTGGATTTTCAGATTCGTCCAGTAACCGCACGCGGTGGACTATAGGACCATTTGAAAAAGTCACCTTAGATGCCACTTTTTTCGCTACCTTTTTATAATAGTTTAATGACTTTTCACAACTCATTGGTACGTTAATGCCATAGGAATAACGATAGCCTAATGCCATTTGAGCAAAAGTATGACCGCCAAGTGCTGCTAGTGTTAGATGTATTAGCGCTTTTGGTTGGCTAACATTTTTTCCTCCAACACCAACAGAGTAGAGAAATGCAAGACCCTATTAACAGCGTAAAATATTAATGCTATAATATATTTTAAACCGTTTACCATGTTAGCATCAGGTAATCCTTCAAGAACCAATTCGTCAAATTCTGATGCAGCATATTCAAAATTAAAATCCTTCCAGTGACCAAGTACCGCAGCCCACGCCATAGTTGCTCGTGCCTGAGCATGTTTCATATCAGCTGCTTTCTTCATTATTTTGTACGCTTCATCTTTATTAGAACGCGGTTTAGCCAGCATTCCCATTGCTAGTTCATATAGCGTATGAGCTGAAAAATCATTTTTTGATGTATATAAAAATATTTTTAGTTAGTATTTTTTATAAAAAAAACCTTCAATTTGTTCAGGTGTTGGATCTATTGGATCTACTATTTCTTTGCGTGATTCTATGGTTTTAATTTGATCAGTCAACTTTTGTCTCATAAGGTTCTCGTTCCACACTCTTTCGAATAATGCAGCCTTTAAAGCTTTTGAAACTTCTTCCATACTAGTGTCTAATGCATTTTTATCTATTTTATCTGCGAGAAATGGCGCTGATTTTCTTATTGAACTTTCTGTTGGGCTTGCCGTACCAGCAGGTTCTTTTGAAGTTTCTTGTGGTTCGGGAGTTACTTGTTCTACAAGTTCAGGAACATCAGTTGGCCTTGGTGGTCCCTGCAAATCTGCTGATATCCTCCCATTTAGCGAAAACACCAGGAAAAATATAAGTAAGTTATTTATATCCATCTGCTAAAAAAGAACATTTTTTTCGTTTTAAAAAATTTGTAGATATCTAGTATCAAAATATGACGTGTAGTGCTTTTCTTTATTTTGTCGTAGTGTTGAGAATATGTAAATAAAATTAAAATTTGTGTATATATGTATATATAAATGTATTCAACACCTTTATTTTTTTTATCACTGAAATTTTGCAAACTGTAACATTATAAGATTTAATAATAAAATTAGTTTAAACACGTAGGAAAAAAATATTTATATATTAAGGGTAAACGTCAGTCGTTGGGATTAGAGTGACCATATTAATTTTAAATTCGTGAGAAATGTCATTTTTTAATTGCATGAACAGAAAGTTGCAGCTGTGGGTACAGTCTGTGTTCATGAAAATATTTTATATTATTTTGCTTAATTATTAGATTTTTTATTTGTTATTGTTCGTAATATTTATTAAGTAAAATTGCTACGTTTTAACAAAAAACAATTCGCATTTTTCAACTGAAAGCTGAAGCTCGAGAAATTGTGTCATAATATCTTTTGTTTTGATATCAGATAGTTCATTTGACAGCAACACCACTCTGATCATTTAATATTAAATTATGTTATAAAAGTTTGAACTGTTACAGATTTTTCATATCTGCTTACCAATTTTCAAAAAAATCAAATTGCGTGTTTTTCCTCTTCACTAAGCTTTAAAAGTTAAAGTATAAATACTAAAACATTTCTCAGGCATTAATCACTGATTCATATATTTTATTAAGTCTCTTGTGTATTACTTCCAAGTATTTTAGTTTATCGACAATGGTGGTTGCGATAACTGTCAACAAAGGTGATTACCCGAATTTTTGAGGAACTTGGTTTATTTTCTAAGTATTCTAGTAATTCACTCTCAAAGTTCCCAGATAATCATCAGCAAAAGAAGTATGTTTAAAACTAGAGGGAGAAATAAATATTAAATTTATTGCAGCACAATAAAGCATCATTTTTCTAAAATAAATTTTATAAAATAGTGTTAGTTAGCTACACTAATAATAGGCAACAAAATTTGAGAAAACATTTCTGCAGAATACCTCTGTCTGAACATTAAAATACAGAAATTAAAATATTAGAAATTAAATAGAATCAATAATAATAATAGACCTGTTCCACAAACTACTCGTAGTAACACTCAAGTAAAACACACGTAAAGTACAAACTGAGAGCGTAACACAAATAAAATGCTTAATTACGCTATTTACACAGATTTTCATAAAATAGCTTTGTGTAAAATCTGGTCAGAACACCAGTGCCGCGCATATAAACAATACAAAAATTTTAATTCAAACACAAAGAGCTGATTCACACATCAACACAAATTTTACTTGAAATAAAACATACGAGTAAAGTCTGTGTAGCATTTTATAATTTCGACAGGGATGTTAGGCTCTATCAGGTGCTCTCATTTACTCGAAAATATGTTGGTGGAACGCACTTGTGTATACACAGTGTTACTTAAAATTACTATGAGTAGCTCGTGCAACAGACCTAATATAAAAGCGATCATAGAACAATTGAAGAGAAGACACATTTATTAAATGCCAATAATGAAGATAATATATTTCAGTTATATAAATACATACATGTGATTACTATTAATTACTTTCTTAAAATTTGTTAACAATTTTAAATTGAGATTTAAATATATTCGAATATATTAGTTGTTTGAAAGCGCAAATTACCAACAGAAACACTCATGTGCTCATAGATACAGAAAAAATTTATCGGCACAACATTACGTGTTTATCGCCAAAACATACTTTTATCGTGCGATTTCTGTGTACGCATTTTGACAGCTCTCGCTTTAGTCGAAAGCAAATAGCAAAAATTGAACTAAAATTATAAAAAATTGAATAGAAAAGAAAATTGGAGCATGATGTCTGAAAACAATGGTAAATATAATAAATATTGAATAGTTTGCTTCACATATAAATACATTGTTATTAAAAAGTAATTGTATGTTTTTATAATCAAAATAATAGAGGCGGCAAAGAGTTTGAGAACGCATACCTAACAAATTTTCTTTTAACAGATACATCAAACGAATCTAACAGTTTGGGAAGTGATTCTATATTTCAGTCTTCACGTTTAGCTGCTAGTAGTGGAAATCCAGTATTACGTTTAGGAGTTTTAAGACCTTCTGTTCTGGGGCCTAGCGTTTTAGGGTCCTCTGCAAATAATGAAAAAACGCCAACAGAAGGAAATGTATTTAATTCAAAAGATGATGTTAATACTACAAGTAATCCTTTCATGAAAGATCAAGATGAAGATGATGATGATGGCGCAGTTGGAGGTACGTCGAAAAAAGATGGTTGTGGTGAGGAAGAGAAGAAGTCTGACGACGATGATGAAGAACCAGATGAAGTAACTACATATAAATATATCTATAAGTTTTATGCATTAAAGTTTGAATTTTTATTTTGATAGCGACCAGATCCTTTGAAAATGTTACGTAAAAATGGATTGGAAAGAGCTAATCTCTTTGCAGCTGCAAAAAATTCAATACCACGTGTAGAAAAATCAGGATTTGTCTTTGGAGAAAATGTACATGAACGTGTGTTAAGTGTAAGTAGAAGAAGAAAATAAATTGCGTCTTTCACCATAAATTAAAACTTTCCACCAATTTCAACTTATGTACATACTCTGAACTTAACGATCTTGTCTATGATCAGTATTCGTTTCAAGGAGATTTTACTTATTTACATGTTTGATAATCAAGTTTGTGAATTATATGCTTAAAACATAATTCTGTTTTGCAGAAGTAATTCTGTAGAGGGTTTCATATTTGCATAAACCTTCTACATAATACATAAACAAGTATACAATATACCATACTAGTATATTGTTTAAAAGCAATTTTCTTTTCTTGAAGTTATAACTAGAAACATAATATTTAGTTTTATTTAGTTGTCATACAGATATACTTTATTCACTTAAAGACTCAACAGCTTGAATATAAACTTTTTTTAAGTTTTCAAAAATGAATATACAGCTTATTCAGAACAAATGAACAAAACTCGTTCATTTAAAACTAGATTTAAGTTGGTGTATACAAAATATACATTTTTATTGTTTAATATCCTTCTCTTTAGAGTAAGAATTTGTTTTATGACATGCGGACGATGTAATTCATATTTGAATACCATATTGAAATGTAATCTACAAAAAAAGGGAAATTACAAAAAATTATCGTTTGTTATTCCTAATCTTAAGCATTTTAATCTAAGTATACTTCAAGTATATTTAGGTAAAAGGAAAAGAGTCTGTTAAGTCATACTCAATTAACCTAAGACCCTTTTTAATGATTGGCTCGCTAGAAAATATCGTATATATATATATCTATCTTCACTAAAATTTAAATATATCAATATATCACTTTGTATTTTAATTCTGATAGCGACACTTAAAATGATAGATCCATTAAAAATGTCCCGTAAAAAATCTCACATTCACTTTCTATGTCTCATTGATTTTGTTTTAGGATAATTTGAATTCAGATAAACCGGAATCTAGCAGCAAACCGAATGAGTTGCTGTTTTCCAGCGTTATAGAAAATGCAAATAAAACAAATGATGCAGAGGGAAATAAAGAAGCTGAAGCAAAAAGTTTGACTGAAGTAGCACGCGAATATGAAGAGAGCCGTGCACAGAAGCGTAAATATGAAGAAGTTGAAACGTTTACGGGTGAAGAAAACGAATCTAATATAGTTGACGTAAGTATTTTATTTACAAGTTTGTAGTTCTCAAAGTAGTTGACATAAATATTTTTTATTTTCAGATAAACTGTAAACTTTTTGCTTTTGAAAACAGTAACTGGGAAGAGCGTGGACGTGGTAGTTTACGTTTAAATGATTCTAAAAGTGAACATGAATGTTCACGTGTAGTATTTCGTACAGCGGGTAACTTACGTTTACTACTTAACACAAAGGTAGTATACTATATATATTGAATATAAAAATAAAATATGTTTTATTTATATTATATGTTTCTATACATTTAGGTTTGGGCTGGTATGGTATCAGAAAGACCAAGTCAAAAATCCTTGCGTCTCACTGCAATGGATAATACCGGAAAAATTAAAGTTTTTCTAGTAATGGCTAGACCATTAGATATAAGCCAACTGCATCAAACATTACAGTTGCGTATAAATGCAAGGAAAATTTCGCATCCGGAAGAAACAAGTCCTCCACTTGCAGAAAGCAATGGTAATTGCTTAAAAAATGGTAATGGAAATGAAACAGAAGTCGATAAAGCTGCTGCAATTGAGGTACCAGAAAATGATGATTTAGCTGAACCTAGCCCTAAGAAAACAGTGGCCCCCGAAACGGTTAATTAATACGCGGCCTATTTGTTTTAATAGTTAAGAGTAAATATATAAATTTTTTTTTAATGTAGTAATTTTAAAATTAATGTTTAATGTTTTAAATTGTAATTTTGTTTTGAAATTAAAATATAATTTTTTGAATTTAGGATATATAAAATGGATTTGAATATATATTTATATAAGTTTGTCATATCGACAACGAAATTACAGAAATAGAAGCGAAATGTTATAAAGTCAAGTTAAAAGTAAACTGTTTGTAATATTATTAGCTATGATTCTCAGTGCATTGACATTGAATAAGGAAATTTTTATCATATTTTCAAATGTACAAATGTGGTTACAAATAGTTACTTTATGGTTTCGTTTTTATCGTAAACATTGTTAATACATACATTAACAATTTGATTGATATTAGTTTTTCTCATTCAGAAAGTTTTAGTGAAGCATTGAATCAAGTTCTATAGATTACGTATTTAAAAAAAGTATATAAAAATAAATACACATATATATATATACATATATATAAATAATCTAAGGAAACATTGTAAATTTATTTATGAAATTTTATAATGAATTTGATTGAAACTTAAAAGTAACAAAATAAACTGTTTTGTTTTAAATGATATAATAGATTGTTACTTTACATAGGACACAGAGATTATGTAGAACGTTATCTTATAATACAAGTTATGCTATAAACAAAGCTAAAATGAGTAAATCATGAGTTTAAGAATTTTAACTATATATTTTTATTTAAATACGAAGTCCAATTAATCCTCTTTGGAATTAATATCATACTATAATTCAATTGAATTATGTACATACATTTTTAAATAAGGAAGATTTTAGCATTTTGTCGTAAACATTACTAGTTCTATATGTTATAGCTTTTAACTGTACTTACTAATTATTCATCACTGTGCTATTAGTTGACAGATAATAGTGACAGCTTACTCTAAAGAAGATATTTAAGATTTTACACGAGAGATCCATGTTGATAACCGAAACGATAGATAAAAATATTAGCTGAAATTTATTTATAGTATTAAAAGCCAAATACTTACGTTAATAATTATATATTATAATCCGAATAAATCCATCGCGTTTTGATAACTGGCGCTTAACTAAGAAATTGTCTTAATCACCAGTGAAAATTATGAACGGTTTAAACAAATTAATTATTCGGGAACGGTAATGTTATATATGCAGTTTTTGGTAAGCACCCGTCCATCTACATTCGAACCGTTCTTTTATAATTTTATTAGAATTAAGAAATATTTGCATTACTTTTATAAAGTTCAATATTTTAAACCTGTTTTAGCTTACAAAAATAATATCGTGTGTATATATATATATATATATATATAACACAATCCATTTTTTCTAATAACAATATATGTGCTCATTTTTTGCTTTTAAAAAGTAAGTTCCAGTTAGGATTGCTAGATTGATTTTCGTTTTTATTTATAGAAAGCATAGTTCCAGAAATGTGCCGTATCCTATATGTATTCTGGTACTTATGACATTAACGATACTTTGTACGTCATGAACATAGTTTCAAAATCTGGGTCTACGTCCCGGAGCCACTCGTCAAACTCAACGACCTAGTACCGTTCAACACCCCGCAAAGGGATTGCTCAGGCAGGTTCATGCGGGTTACAATAAAAATATCGACGAAATAAACAAGCTAACTTTCAATTGCGTTATTTCCTATTAATATACATCACCAAATAACTGCTATATATTTTAAATATCTGCAGAAAAGTACAAACAGTGATGGTGTGTCTATAGCCAATTTTGTATAAGTTTATCTATACAAACCATTCCAGTCAATCAATGCAGGAATTACCTGAATGACACTATATATCAAAGTGAAATAAAAAAACCATTTATATTATAAAATAAATCTACGTTTAACATTTATTTATATATGATTTACTTTTAATTTATTATAAGGTACAAGAAATTAATGTTATAAACATTTTACGGATTTTGGTTCAATTTAACATTACAAAATTTTGGAACTACAAAATGTTTAAACATTGAGTAGGTTTTTTTTACTATCTATTAATATTAATTTTTGTTTAATTTTTATTTAAGATTATGTCATCGCTTATATAAAATTTCTGTTATAAAATTATTGTATTTTCAGGACTTTTGCGTTTGAATATATGATTACTTATATAAATTTATTATTATTTATTTATATAAATTTAACTTCATACCTTAGAAATTAATCCATTTCCTTTTCTACAAATATATACTTGTATATTATTATAGCCCAATTAGTCGTTATAACAACTAAACAACTAAAATCTATGATAAACATGATCTTTTGTATATTATCTGGAAAACTGAATCATACTTATATATTATCTTATTTAAGTTAAAACTTATAATAAAAAAATTATAGCATCCCTCCAACGATTATATTACATGGAAGCTATGACGAATATGCAAAAATTTCACTCGCTTTGTAAATCCGCGTTGAATAACTAAAGCTATAAGAATAGATTGCTAATATTGTTTACAATTTTTGAAATAAATAAATTAGGGGTGATTAGGAATAGAAACGATTGTTTGACTACATAATGGTTTTATTAATCACTTGCCAAATTGTTTAATGTATATGCATTTTGAGTAGTTAAGTAGTTTGCATAGTTGAATGTAGATTAATGTTTTTAGAGAGTTACAGAAATTGTTCACTTAATAGCGCTTCTATTAAAAGATATATGAAGCACCTTTGTCACATTTTTCTTAAGAACATTTCGCAAATTAATATTATTATTCTCGAAGCTGAGTAGACCATTTCAAAAGTCTTAAATATATAATAATTTTACTAATACTAAAATTACAAACATTCGCACATTAATCACTACGAAACAACAGCCAAAAGATTTAGTTATTTATATAATTACTATAATCCCTAAAACTTAAGTTTGTTTTATTTTTGCAATATAAAAAGCAAGTTTATGTTCCTTAAAATAAGTTACAGCAACTCCCATGTACACTTAAAAAAGTCATAATATGCAATTTTGTGACTAGTTACAATACTAAGCTTAATAGAGCATATAACCTATCGAATAATTGTCACACCCACATAATTTAGCATTAATTTACTACTAAATATTATTCTAACAAAATATTAAATAAATTAATAATAAAATTAAATATTTTAATTTACTTGTATGATTTTTCGTTAACAACTTGAAATTACAAATTTTGGCTTAAAAAAACTAGAAATGATAGAAATAATTTTTTATATAAAATACCTTTTATATAAATAATTAAATTAAATTAAATAGCAATATTATTTACAATAATTTCATATAAATACATTATTTGCCTGCCATATGGTTTTTAACTTATACTCAAAGCATTAATTATAATAATGAGAGTTTTAGGGTTTTTGAATAATTGTAAGTCTACTTTGGCAACTAAATAATGACATAAAAAATTGTTAAATTTTTCAACAATATAAAATTGTTCACAATTTTACTCATAAAGCAATGTTTCTATAATTAACTTATATTACTGCAACTGGAAACTGTAACATTTAGTGGATTTATTTTGCTGTTAACAGCAGTGGAAGATCTGCAAAACAAAATATATATTTTTTTAATTTAATAATTAAGTTAAAATAATATAAAATCATCTACCTATTATGTCTCATATGGCTTTCAACTAGATCATTTTTAACAAGTGCTGCCATCAAACTCAACTCGCCAGCCATTACTGTAGCGCAAACAATTTGTGCCAATTTTTTTGCATTATCGCCCGGACAGTTTTGACTTGCACCACGTACACCAAGCATATCTAAACATGCACTTTGACCAGGTAATACTGTGCCACCACCAACAGTACCTACTTCCAGTGAAGGCATAGTGCATGTCATATACAAATCTTCACTGTTTTCCCCATAGCATTCCATGCCAGTCGAACAGTTACTCGAGGTGACGTTTTGTGCAGGATCTTGTCCAGTTGCTAAGAAAACAGCAGTAACCATATTGGCCGCATGTGCATTGTTACCTTAAAGAAAAGAAAAGAAAACATAGTAAAGTGTTTGTTATATATATATTTGCTCAATTTACTGCAATTACCCTGGACACCCATTTGACAACGGGTTTTGGTAGATTCACATATTCTAAATAACTTTTTCTATTCTTCTATTCGTCAATATTGCTCAGTTTTTAAGATACCGGGTTTAAAATATAAATATATTCATGTAGATACCTCCAACAAGGAAATGCGTCAATTAGTTCTTACTCCTTTTCGAGATCACGTTTGCACTGCAACAAAATTCACAATAGACCTTCGCCTAACATTTCTAAGAAAGAACGACGCCTTCCCCGTGCATGAAAACTGTACTCGCTCAATCAAGATTAGGATACAGTTACTTTTTATGCATAAATACGTCAAATTTCAATGTGTCCCAACTGTAGCTGTACTCCCCATAATATCACCCATCTGATTTCTTATCCCAACGCGCACAATCTAAATTCAATTGATGTTTAGACCAGTCTTATTGAAGTGACTAGGTTTCTCCGTCTTGATTCTGGTTGACTATAATTTAAGTCCCACACAGCCCCAATCTACTCACACTCTCTAATAATTCTCTCACCTCTCACACAACCAATCCTTCAAACTGTTTCAGACAAAGCTATTATCTTTAAGGTTTCAACGGCTTGTTGTCTATACTACACTATAAAATATTTTATTTTTTATAAATTTTCAAATAACTTACCACCAATACTTCCGGCAATTGCGCTACCAGACATGTTCTTAAGCTTATTGCATTCAACAAGTGTTTTAGCGTCAGTTCTTAAGATAGTACGCAGTGTATGTGCAGATATAATGCATTCTGTTACAACACGTTTTCCACGACCTTTTATCCAGTTGATTGCCGCTGGCTTTTTATCACAACAAAAATTACCGCTTAACGATATTACTTGCATATCTGGAAATTCATTTTTTATACATTTCAGTGCTTTCTCCGCACCTTTTGAAACCATATTCATGCCCATAGCATCACCAGTTAGGGCCACAAAACGTATATACAATTGTCGTCCATCCATTGCAACAAAACATTCCGTTAAACGACCATAACTGGAGGTGGAATCAAATTCTCTTTTGATACGTTTAAAATTTTGTTCATTATTTATCCAACGATTTGCTTCTGCCGCACGCTCAACGCTAGGAAAACGGACACAAGGTGCTCGTGTCATACCCACGTCTTCAACACATGATGTAACACCGCGAATAGAAAGCGCTTTACAGCCACGATTCGTAGAGGCAACCAATGCACCTTCTGTCGTTGCCATAGGTACAAAATATTTAACTCCATCCAATAGTAGTGGACCTGCATATCCCACTGGGATTGGTACATAACCCAACACATTTTCACAGCAAGCATTCATCACTTTACGATAGTCAAAATGTTGATATGGTAGGCAATTTAAACGATCGGTGGGTATTTTCGCACGCTCCGCTATAATTTGTCTACGTATACGTACACCGCGTTCGGGATCATCGATTACCTTTTCTATTTTGTGCAGTGGACAGTGTAAGCCACCTGCATTTACGATTTCTGTTATTTCCGCATCACTTAAATTGAAAGCACCACCATTTTGTTCAGTTGAATATAAAATTTTCAAGCACTCTTCTAATGAACGCGGTGGTTCTTTCACGACCATCTCCGTACAAACTGATGATAGTTGTAGTTCAGTAGATTCTGGAGATATGTATTGATGGTAGGTTTGTGTAGATACATTTGCAGAAGTTTGCTCTTCAATTGTGAATAGTGCCAAACGCTTCGGTGTAGTAATTTCAATATTAGTGTTATCTTCTACTGGCTCAAGTTCAGTAGATGATATTGTGTTAGTTGTTGTCTCGACTTCTGTTGCAGATACAATTGCCTGCTGATTCTGTGATGTTTGCAAGATTTGGTTATGTAATTCATCACGATTCTCAAAGAATATGAACTTAACAACCAGGGCGATAAGTAAAATTAATATAACGATTTGGTCTGCACTCATTGTAAGCCATCTATAATTCACATAGTTTAATTATATTCATCTAAATTATAATTATTTTTTTATGTACAGCTATACTTACTTGATAATTAAATCGGTTATTTCACCCGATTCTGTACGATTGTTATTTACATTTAAATTGAGTTTTGGTGTTAATGTATTGTCCACAGCATCGTAATCATTACTGGAAAATACCATACGGCTATATATGTGAACAATCATTAATCCAGTGGTCATGATTATTTTAACCCGTTGTACTACTGGGTTCGCTTTTTGTCCTTCTTCATTTAGCGCTTTTAATATTATGGAATCTTTAGCACGCACTATCGTCATGTCCATACCATTTCGTGATAAATCCAATATAAGCGACAAACAAGCCGGATAAAAAGTCATAAATACAATATAATTGACTAAGACAGACATAACAGCAAATGTGCATAAAACTTCCAGACGCTGTACGCCCGAAAGAGTGCCCACACCTATAACTAAAGTTTCGACTACAGTATCTAATGAGATTGCTGGTCCAAGCACTTCTAATCCTCGCGCTATATTATGCGTTACTTCCGCTTGATTATTGCCAGCCAGCGCGAGCTGTGCAAGTCTTCCCGAATTCGAAAGATCGATTAGTAATAAAAGAAAGAATAGAGCATCTCTAAAATAAACAAATAAAATAAATGTAAAAATATACATGCATATGTTATGTGAAAAGAATGATATTATTGAAAAATGTGAATACTTACTTTAAGTCGGAAATATCACTACCAAGGAACTTTATTATTGTCGTTGTAAATATGAAACTTGAGAAAACCGTAAAAAGTCCAGCAATTCCTGCAACGTTCAAGATTTTAAAATAGAATTTTAACTTTGGAAACATAAAGTAATAAATTATTTTTATCAATAAATATTATTAATGCTATGCATTTGTCTCTGTCTCTAGGGATGTGTAATTATTGTGTTTGTAAGCAGCAATTTGAATACATATTTCATATTCCTTCTGTGCGATAAGCCGAAGCGCATTACGATAAGAAGTTGAATGACGTGAATTGAACAAGGATTACTTTTATTCATAATTCATTTTTTTTTTTTTTGGAATGAATTACTGAGAGTTTCCATATGACCTTTAGAGGATCATTGTTTTTTTTTTTGTTCTCGAAAATAAGTTTTACAAGTTGTATTGCCTATTATGTTGTTTTCTTTTTCCTTGGGTTGAACGAAACTAAGAGATATTTTAAGCGATTAAGAAGAATGATGCGGATTCAAGGACAGAATATTTAGATTTCGTAGACATTTTTTTGTGAACATAATACATTTAACTTGTCTCGATTAGTTACCCTATAATTCAAGAGAGCCTAAAGGAAAATTTGTAGTGTATATAAGAAATATATTTATACATATGATTTTATTTAAAGAATTAAGTAGAAGTTAATTAAAATGAGGATTAAGAATGACTTATAAACAAGTGGAAGGCAAAAAATATTATATTTGCAAAAAAAATTAAATATTCTGATTATTCAAATATAACAAAGAACATATATTATTTAACATAAAAAAAATTAATATTATGCTTATGTAGTATTTGCCATTTTGTTAAAAAAAGTGATACTTTTAATCATAGCAGTAGTTTTTGATAATACATGTAGAAAGTAGATTATAGCAAGAACAATTACTAGACAATATAGAAGGATTGTGAAAGAATATCAATATTGTAACATAACATATGTTAAATATATAAATAATTAGATGTTGAGACCTATTAGATTAGGAATCGAATAAAGAAATCAAGATTGATTAGAGATTTTCCATTAATTATCTAAATATCAATTGTGAGAAGTGTCTGTAAATTAGAGAAACTTAGCAAAAATAATAACTTAGGAGTCAAAAAAGTAGGTGCAGGTTGAGCATCGTTCAGGAAATAGAATCTAAATCTAAATCAAAAAAAAAAATTTTAATATATGATAAGGTGAAAACTAAAACTCATTCAAGAGATATGAGAATGGAACTCACAAGAAAGAAAGTCGTGGAGTCGAACAAAAATTACGATTCCCAGAATGACGAGTAAACCTTTTAGTGAATCATATGTCAAAATGAATTTTAATTCTTAACTTTTTGGTTTTTTTATAGATTAAGCAATTAAAGCAGCGAAGATACGGTAACTAAATCGATGATTGGGAACTATAACTTGCAACCCATACATTGCTAAATAGTTGTGTATGTTGACAAGATAGCATTTTTGCCGAATAATGAGCATTTATTATAAGTCCATTCACTAGGACTGCTTTTTTCAGTTTACAAGGTATGACAGCAAATGTTGAAAAAACAAATGTTATATTATTTATGCTGCGAAATCGAAGCAAGTAATTATGCAAAAAACGTATATTGTAATGAAGTATAGTTAAAATAAGTATAACACATGAATGTGAAAAATGTTACTACATAACGAAAATATTAACCTTTATCAAAAAATTTTTATACTTAGATTCTACGTTGTTTCTATAACTCTATTAAGCTTATTTTTTTTTTTTTCTTCATTCTTTCTTTTTTTTATTAGCAAGATACTTCGGGCTCCTTTTCTATATGCTACAGCACTTTTACAATGCTTTATTGCCAACCGTTAAGTACCTGGTCAAAGTATCTAATTTTGTTATGTCCTGTTTTTCTCTCCATGGTAGGCAATCTGATATAAGTTTTTTAGCTGTTCGATAACCAAACACTTTCACTAAGTGATTACCATCACGTTTATTAATTTTTTTCTTAGATAATTTTACAAGATTTGCATCTTCACCCGCTACTTAGCATTCTATGTATATGATCTTTTACACATAGTTGTATGAAACTTCTTTATCTTTAGTGGCGTTAGAGTTAGAATTGCCAATTTCAAAATACAATCCGGAAATACTTAGAATAAATTACATCAAATTTCCTTTTTATTCTGTTATTCTGTTATTTATTTTCTAACATCTGAAAACAAAGTTCCCAATTGATTTCATTGTGCTTGAACGATTAAGAATAGTTAATAGAGTTCATTTTCACTATTTCAACTACTCACATCTATTATTTTACGTAGTAATGTAAAAACAATACAAGAAAAGGCTCAAAGGATCGCATAAGTTTTAGAAGAGGTTCTTGAAAAATATCGTTTTATGATATTAACGTGTTCTGTTCTTCGGGACAATACTAAGTTTTATTACCTATGACAACCTTGAGACTGTGGAAAGAAAATCAGCTATCTTCCTATATTTATTTTATATTGTCAATTTATAAATGGTGAGTACTAAATTTTATAATATCTTTACCAACAATAAACAACACAATGGACGCAATGATCATTAAACTATTAACCTGCGGAAATATCACTTAAACTCTATTGTCATCGTAAAATCCCTATTTAGTTTATATAATTGGTTAATACTATGAGTGTAAAAATAAACATGAAGGTCACAATAAAATCTCTACAGCTTGCATATCTAAACAATTGTGCCAAAATTTACACCTTTGGTGCAGCAAGGTTTAATGTTCATTCAAGCACTACTGAGGGCCATTAATATTATTTATTTTTTATCTAAGCCTGCTACCACTTTAGTACTTTAGTTGTAATACGAGTACAAAATACTTCAAGCATTATTTATAGTACAAGTTCACTTATTTATATGTATATTATTTTTTTCTGTTTTGCAAAAAACAAATTATTTGCTGTTTTTCTTTCTATACTTCAACCATGGAATTAATGAAGTTTATTTGCGGTTTGTGTGTTTAAAATATATTCCCGCCAAAAAGAATGGCTAAAATATTTGTCCAATATTAATTGTTTCGCAAATATACGACAATAATTTATCTAGTCTTGTCGTAGCGAGAGATAAATATGGAAATATTTCATAATATTCAGAATAAATAAATGTTAGGAATAATTTACGAAAAATCAATTATCTATTGGTTTGATTATGAAAATATCAGGGTCAAATACTTGAACTTTCGACTGATTCATGGAATCGATAGTTTATTTGATAAAAATCTGTGCTAATAATAAACAAAACAAGCATTTCAAATATTTCCAAAAATTTATTGAAGTGAATTTATGTGCTAAATTAATTAACATTTAATAAACAAATTGAAAATATTTTAACATTAAGCCCATAATTAACCTTCTTGAAGAATAGATATCAATTAATTTCCTAATTTTCAAAAATACAGAAAATCTAAAATTCTTAGCACATCGATTGAAAACAAGGATTAGTTAAAATAAAAATATATCTAAATATCCAAATTTTATAATTTAATATATATAAAACTTCTACTACGAGTATAAAAAAGTATCTGAACCTGTACCTGTATTGCTGTAATATTAAAATCTAAAGTGAATTAAATAAATGCAAAATATAGAAATAAGTATACACATTTCTAACGTTAAAATTTCAACTTCATATGTTTAATAATAATGAGAAAAATTCTGAATCAACATGGCAGATATGAGATATAGCCGATCTTAATAAGTGCAACAAATATTTGAGGTTTGTTTTAAAAAAGACATGGGGTTGCTTTAAAACTGACAGATAGACATCTTTAAATTGATAGATCAATTTATATTATATTAGAATATAATATAATAGAATATAATGTGTTATATAGATAATGATATTATATAGAATATCATAATCAATACGAGTCGTATTATATTGTCAAAATCCTTTAAGTATAAAATACTTAAGTATATGTAAAAATGTGAGGAAAATAATCCATAATTTTTAAACAACTATTATTATTATTATTAGAAAGGTTCGAATAGTTATGAAGAAATAACAACAAAAATTTGATTAATTTATTTAAATTTGCTTGAAATTTGATTGACCGTACAACGCTGTTTCGAGTATTAATAAGTACTCATCATCAGTCATCTTAGGAAATATACGAATTTTTATTTAATTCGTTTATAGTCCGTATATAATTTGTTTGGACTGCAAGTACCAGTCTTACACCTCGTGCCTATCAAATTAGAAACGATGAACGATCGTGTTTTTCCACAAGTAGGCTGCACAAACCTTGCTAATTCATATCGATTATTTATGTGTAATCTTGCAACTCATTTAAAATACAATATCATTCTAAGGTAGTCATTTTTTATGTCTGGAAGTGTTCAATCATATATATATTTTCTTACGATGTGCACAAACTTTCACATTAATTTAGTAAACAAAGTATTATTATTGTTATTGTTCTACCTATTTTCTTCTGGTACTGGACCAAATACCATACGCTTGATAAATTGTAGAATGTACCACTATATCCATTTATAGTTATATTAATAGGAGGTTTTGTGATTAGAACTTTAATCGATGGGATTAGATGTACTATGCCTTGTAAGAAACTCATATACATATGCTTTGTAAAATATATCGGTGTTACTCTTAAGAAGAACACATTGAATAAGAGTGATTAAAACTTTAATCGGTGGGATTAGATGTACTATGCCTTGTAAGAAACTCATATACATATGCCTTGTAAAATACATCGGTGTTACTCTTAAGTAGAACACATTGTTGGATTTCAATTTTTAATCTGTGACGAAACTTGGAGATTGGCAGTTTCTAATAATGTATTATTCCATATTCTCTACTGTGTGATCGCAGCATGTAACCCTAAAAACTATATTAATATTTTTGTGTTCTATGACGCAATAATTTGGATTTTCTTAAATTGTTATTGCAGAATGTGTGACTTTTAATATTAAATAAACATCATTCGCATATTTCAAATATGCTAATTTGAGGCAAGTTATAAAATAAGAATCTAACTGAAAGTAAACATACGCAACAAAAAGTTAACAGCTTTACTTGGGGAAGCACAGTGTTCCATCCATACCGGAACATAATCCAATATAATTACGCTAATAAGATACGCAAATTGGCATACTGCGTGCATGTGCGACAGACGTGAATGCATGTCACTTTAGATGTTTGTGTTCTAGTACATGATATTTGTACTTAAACCTTTTAATTAAGGCATAACTAACTAACATTGTACAAATTGAAAAAATGTACCATAACCATAATACCACATAATCACATAAACCCATACAATGCGGCATCCGTAAAGCACCCAATCAACCAATCAACCAAGAAACAAGAAACACAAATACATACGAGACAAATACGAGTACAAGAAGGAAACATGGCATTGCAATTTACTTACCCAATATGTATTTGGAGCCGAGCTTATGCAAACTACAGAACTGATAGTAACAATAGAGGACTGCAGTGCAACGCACAATTGTCATGAGTATGACATCGGCTGCATTGTACTCAGCCTCCAGGCCATCACATGACTGGCTCCAGCCGTGACACGGTCGATGTCGACTAGATATGACCGAGGGCGTTGTCCCACTTTGTTGTTGTATCGTTGAGGCTGTTGCTGCTGTGGTTGCTGTTGTTGTACCCACCGCACCCTCGGCGCTGATGGTACCGGCTTGCTTGTCAACTGTCAGCATACATGCTGTCACTGTCAGTAGTGCAACAATTACCTCCCAGGGATGTGAGGCACAAAATTCGCCATGTGCTCGAAATAAACGTCCAATCATTTTGTCTAAGAATTTTTGATTTAAGTACAATTTTGCTGATATAAAAATATATTGTCTTAAATGTAAAATTTTGATAATGATTGTGGTAAACGGCACAACGCATAAAAGAGCAAATTTCTATCTGAGCAAAATGTCTTACAATATTAAATGGATTTCAAAGTTTTGCCAAATGTTTTCAGTTCAATTTATGAAAATCTGTTTCAATGCTTGTCGAAGTCAATCACATTCGTTGCAATGGTTGTTACAGTAATGAAGTTGAACTTGAAACAGAGGTTGCCAACCTTAACAGCATGTACTCGCATCTATGTTTAAATGTCGGCCGTGCATAAATGCGCATGCGTGCGTGCATCCGTGCATATATAATATTCGAATATGCTTCAGAGCCAATTTATTTGCGATTGTCACTGTGTCAAGTGCAGAATGGCACCGATTAGTTACATATAAAGAACAATTTCAGAATTAATTTTGTATGTTCTGGTGTAATTCAAATGTTGAAATCTGTAAATAAAAAAATATGAAAATTATTACTTTAATCTGCTTGTGTTTATTATGATGATGATATGAACGCCCCAGAACTTAAGTGCCTAGGGCAGTGTGTATACGAATAAGAATTGAATTGCATTTAAATGGGAAATTAAATTTTGAATATTATTTTTATATATTATTTAAAATAGACGCATAATATGTTGACACATGAAAAAAATAAATAATACTAGTCTATTTATATCTGCATAAGAAATTCTAATAGTTTAGTTAAATCTGTTTCTATACATAACATACCATACAAACAAATTCAACTACAATCAATCTGAGAAAGAGTAATATATATAAATTCAAAGAAAAACTATATATTTATTTTATTATAATTAGATTAAGTTACGTTGGCGATCATAAGGATCCACTTCGGCTTATTGTGTAACCGTACCTGGGTTTAAAAATAGTTGAAACTTTGAATAAAACTGCGGATACTCTTGAAGAATAGTTCTTTATAATGAAGAATATGACTTTATAATTATTTTATTATAATACATAAAGAGGTTTTCAAAAAGCAATGAATTACAACAACAATAAAAATTATTTTTCCTTATATTATTTTAATTAATTGAATTTTTGCTGTTTCGGGTATTGCCAAATACTCATCATCAGCGGTCTTGGAAATAATTTTTGTATTTAATTATTCGTAAATAGTTTTTGGAGACTGCAAGTAACAGGCATCGAACTCATGCCCTGCCAAATTTGAAGCTCAGAGTTAGTGCTCCTTAATCAACTGACCCAAAGCCGTACTTGATTTTTATGTTCGCACATTTTTCTGCAGTTTTGTTAATTTGCTGTGAAAGTTCTATTAACAAATTCACTTCCTATCTTCATATTAGAACAAAATATTAACGAGCTGTAGAATATTTAATTTAATTAATTATGTTTTAATTTTTAATTGTTCAATTTCAACACTATTCCATAGTATATTATACTGTATACTATACTACATATTACAGTATTATTTCAGACCTGACCACAGTAACTGTGTGTTATGATGTATTTTTGGATTTTAAGTTTGATTATTAAATAAAGTTATTTAGAATACAACAAATAAGTTAATGAAACAAATAAGTTAATCAAACAAACTACTCTCGTAGCTCAGCTATTTGTATAATAAAATTGAGTCGAGTAATACTGACGCATATAACATGGAACATATCTATCTTGTTATAGAGAATTCTACTGTAATACAAAATTCTAAAATAAATACATGCATTTTTATTTTATTTCTTCTGCTTTGTTATAAATATTTAAAATTTATTTAAATTTAAATGCCATTTGAAAAAACTTCGTACATCTTTCAAAAATATTAATGGAATTTCCTTGTAATAATATCAGGCGTTGTCTGATCAAGCTTTGAGTTTAATAACTTCTTTGAGTAATTCTATTTTTATAATGGTACATTTTGTCTTTTGTAATATTAAGCTCATAAAAACTTTTTATTTGCACTAAATAAAAAATATTTTGAAAAGAAAAAAAAATCATATTATGTTGTTACATTCACATCCATAAAAAAGATTAAATTTAATTATTAAGTAAAATTAAATATATAAACAATAAAAGTGATTGGTCTTCTTGGGCTCAAATTGTGTAATACAATTATCGTACTAATACAACCCTGTTCAATGGATATGCTGCCCACGAAATACGGACTTCTTACAATAATCACACATACAGATCTGGGAAGGGAGAAGACATTGGCATAAATCTAATATATATAATTAATTAGGTACTTGACAAAAATCATCTAAGTATGGTTGCCCTTATTAGGTGCTTTTCCAATATTCCCAGCGATATCTTATCGCTTTATTTAAATGATATAATGGCTTTCCAGTATAATAAAATTAACTGCAATTAAGGATTAAATGTATTTGAAACCATTTTAGTTTAAATCCAAAGAAATTTTAATTTATTACGGTTCGGCAAAATTAAATCCCTATAATTACATTTTCATTTCAATTTTAAACAATTTACTAAAAGTGCTTCTGTAAGTAACTACTCTCGTAAATCCAATGAATACATGTCTAACAAAAATTTTGTGAGCAATTTTGTGCTATCCTTTAAGTAGATTTGCGGCAAAGTGCAGATAAAAAGGCTGACATTGTAACTACTACTGCAGCAGCAAAAGTTGCTGATACAAAACATTAAAATTTATCATATCATCCAATTCACCTCATTTATTATATTTCGAAAGTTTTGCATGCACAATTTTAACATTTAATCCTTTCCACATATGGTTGGCTGGTGTTTCGTAGTTGTGCATCAGAGTTTGCAGAGAATGAAGGTCAATCGTTATAGCAGTTCACCAACCCAAAGCGGATTTCCATAGATCGACCGTAACGTGGCATATGTAACGAATTGTAAAAGGAAATTTTGCTTATCGATTAAAATGTTGACACTTTTCAATAAGACAATTTAAACCAAATAAAAAAATTGGTTTAGTGGAGCGGGTACTCAACTACTCTTGATGTTTGCTACAGAACAGCTAGATAGAAGGCATATCCAATTCAGAAGCGTCCCCTATATGTGATGTGTGATTATAAAATGTACACGCTTTATTTAAAGAACATTAAAGATAATTAACAAGATAAAGATGCGAGTAATAAAATTTTGTAAATAGAAGAGATAATTTTTAATTAATAATATATGTATGTCATATTAATATATTATTTGCATGTAAATATTCTTGAAGTGTTTAAGTTTAAACTACATTTTTCATTTCTAGGTGGAAACTTAAATGTTTACGATTTTAATTATAATGAATAACAACACATTTATGACTGGAGCATTTATGAATAACAGTCGCTAGTTACAGTAGTCAAATATTATAAACTATACAGAGATTGTGATGAACTGACAGACGTCAAAATTTTTGTTTTATATTAATTTCGATTGCAATACTTTATTTTATACTAAACAAGTTCCGAATGCAATGATGCATTTGATAATATAGAGCTTTTACTCTTTGGTAGTACTAAGATCTCCGCCATAGCTTTCCGCAAATAGCAATATCTGCCAAACTAAAGATCGACGGTACTTCCATTCCTCTTGTCGACGAGCTCAAATACTTTAAAATTGTGCTATCTTTTCGGAACAACTTTATTCATTACATTGACTATGCCATCCGAACTGCTCGGTACAATCACACGCAACACAAAAATGCCCTTCGAAGGCACAGTCAGGTACAATTATACGCAACGCAAAAATGCCCTTCGAAGGCACAGTCAGATTAATTACAAAGTCAAGCTGCTCTGCTTTAAACAGTTCATTCGCCACTACTCTAGTACGTCTTTCCTATTTAGTCTACCAAAACCACTACGTGATTACACAAACTATAAGAGTAAGCCTGATGGTTATCACTTTTCCAATACCGTTCTTTACGACAAAGCCACTCCCGCACTTACGCAATAACCTATATGCCCTTCATCTACTACCCATCTACCTGCACCACGTCCATGCATTCTGGCTTAGATAAACCTAGTCCACTTGGTATTAAGCCTCTTGTTCGTGTTTCTCTTCTTTAATTACTGGAAAAAAGTTCCTACACTGCGATGGAAATATTTTCCATTCATTCGTAAGAGGTGGTTTATTGAATTAAAATCTCACACTGTGGCTGTCGATGTACAAATCTTTATGATATATTGTAATATTAAATTCTGTTCCCAGAGATTTTCTAATGTAAAATTTATTACCAGTTATGTTATATATATTTTTATTATATAAAGAACGATATTTTCTCCAAACATTTATAGAAAGCGTTGAACATTGTGCTCAATCATATTAACTACACACGATACTTTCTCACTGCCGAGAAAGTATTCTTTATTCGCAGTTTTAAAAGATGGCAAAAAAATTTCGAACGGCGATACTAAGATTTTTATGATTTGGTGTAACACATCAAAATAGTTCCAAGATAAAGCCTTGGGCTTTAATAAGTAATTAATATCTAGATACGAGAATTTTAGAAATTTTGTAAATAATTGTTACATTACAGATATTGTGATACGCTACTATCGCAGATATTGCTAAGCATTTATGAACAAAGAAAAATATATATGGTATACATATAATTAGTCAGTTTAATATTCAGTAATAATTAATTATAATCAAAGAAGTAATTTCCAACGAAATATATATTTTTGAACATGATACTAAATATTTCGATTTATTTATGTTGAATATGATCTTATTGTTTTTCAAAAGAATTCATACATTTTTTATAGATTATTTTTTATTTCAATTATTTCTATATGAGATATTAAATGGAAGTCTACTACATAGCATAAAAAAATCCCACTACGTGATTAAGTTAACAAACTCAGCTAATGACGTTTTTGTATGACTAGGAAGATGTTGGAGATGCGACAAAAATATTAAAATGAATATTAGTAGAACATTATCGGGAGCAAATAATGAGAGTGAGTACTAAGAATTTATTTTACAATTTTATACAAATCAAGTTATACAAGCAAATAATAATGAGGTAAGACCAAACCCAATTATATATATATCTTCTAATGCTTAATATTCATTGCAGAATTAAACAATAAATTTCACTAATGTTTAAGTGTCGTCAATTAAATTATTTATAAGATAAATGTATTGAAATTTGACATGTGAAATCAATATATATAGCATTAAATTATAAATTGTAAATATTATTCAAATAAAAAAAGGATTTATTTTATATAAAAATATATATTGTATAATAAAATAATACAAAATAAAATAACATTGTTTTATTAAAGTAATATAATTATATTATGCGTATAAACATTTATTGCTAAAAATTTATTCTCATTTTATATTCATTTTTCCAGAAGATTGATTTTCTTGTCCGAAAATTGTTCTGACCGTACTTATACCAATTTAATGGATAAACATTCCTTCTTCTTCCATAGTTAAGAACATTGTACATATTTCCCATATTAAAATTTTGTAAACAATTTATATTTAAAATG